AAGGTGGAAACTGAAAACATAAGCAGACTAACTGCTTATGAAAAGGCTTTCTGCCAAACTAAGATGACAACCACCTAAACGATAAATATCCCTGGCTCAAAAGTCCTATGGGGATAAAAGAAAACCACCGAGATCAGAAACTGACGTTCAGTCAGCTAAATCCTTCTAAAGAGGATAATTAAGTCAAACCCATATAGCAAACACCCCACAAAAGGCTTTACCATTAGCAATGCGTGTGAAACACGCTCAGAAGGAACCCAGGCTAATCCTGGATCCTTAGTAGAAAACCTTAAACAAATAATGAGCGAGGGAGAATCTCAGGCTACTCCTGGATCTCTAGCAACAACCTTAAACCCAAACAGTAACGGTGTGAATAACCTTAAAACCGAGTGGTAACGGTAGCAAAACGTGTCCGTGAGCTAGGGAGAAACACAGGCTAATCCTGGCTCTCCTCGACTGTCTGCTGTGTTCCTCCTTTTAAGTCCTGGGAGCTGCTTGATGGCTGATGCAGGTCAGCTGCGGTCTTTGCCGGCGTGCCTCTCTCCGAGGTCCTGAAAGGGCGCTGGGGCGCTGGAAAGTGTGAGCAGGCCGCTCCTGGTGCTGTCCCTGGTGCTGGATCCTTTGCAGCGGGGACAAAAGGCTCAGGCTGGGATTAGAGGACGGACCGAGGGGACGAGGGTCGTCACAGCTCGTTACAGGGAATTAGTATTGCAGGTCGAGTTGTCTCCATAAGTCAACTGGCTGATGATACAGCTCTGTTTTTAAAAGATGTGTCACAGGTTCCTATAGCCCTTAACACTATTGAAAGTTTCACTAAGGCATCTGTGTTATATCTTAATGTTAACAAGTGTGAACTATTGCCAGTGCATGAGTGCCCATACTCCTCTGTTTGCGGCATTGCAGTTAAAATACTGTTACATACATAGGTATTAATATTTCTACGGACAGCAGAAACAGAAGCATAGATAATTTCACTCCCTTCATAAATAAATCTAAAAGGATTTTTAACAGCTGGCTACAAAGAGATTTGTCCCTGAGAGGTAGAGTTCTGCTAACTAAAGCAGAAGGTTTGTCCCGTTTAACTTATGTTGCCCAGTCTCTATATGTAGACAAGTCAATATGTCAATAAGTCTATTGACAGGATGTTATTTGATTTCTTATGGAAGAACAAAACTCATTATTTACGTAAGTCCGTTGTTCCAAATAATGATAAGTCAGGTGGCCTAAACTTTATTGATTTCGACTCCCTTAGTAATATTTTTAAAGTTAAATGGATAAAAAATTACCTTAAGAATCCAACCTCTATCTGGAACTTTATTTCACAGTACATTTTTTCACATTTAGGTGGTCTAGAGTTTATCCTTCTCTGTAATTACAGTATTCCAAAAATACCTACTAAACTTTCTAATTTTCACCAACAAGTACTTTTAGCATGGTCTCTCATCTATAAGCACAATTTATCTCCTCAAAAATGTTATATCTGGAACAATTCTTCTATTCTGTACAAGAACAAATCTATATTTTTGCAGACATGGTTTAATAGTGGTACTAACTTAGTGCATCACTTGTTTAACAGTAAAGGGTTTTTATACGGATACGCAGAATTTCTTAACCATTACAAACTTCCTGTTACTCCGAAAGAGTATAGTACTGTAATTGATGCCATTCCATCTGGTTTAATAATGTTATTTAAAGGTGTAGACTTGTCTTCTACCCAACCTGCGAGTCCTCCTGATCCTAGACAAACCGCTGATGGTGAGATCTGTTTTTCAAATGTTAAAGGTACTAATTCCAAAATATGTTCTTAGTTTCAAGAAAATTTGGTCTCCAGTCCATCCTCTGTATCACACTGAAACACAGCCGTACAGAATCTTAATTGGGTCAAAATTTGGTCTCTTTCATAGAATTTTTTCTAACTAATAAAGTTAAAGAAGTGTCTTTTAAATTAATTCACAGATTTTACGCGACAAAACACTTTCTTCAGAAATATAAATCTGATATAGATGAATCTTGTTCTTTCTGTAAATGTCATCCAGAAACGTGTATTTCATCACAGATTTTGATGTGAAGGACTCATCTCAGATGTTTTTCATAAATTTGATCCTGTTTCTTGCAAAATTCCACATTCATAAATCCAAAGTTACAAATACCAAACCTTTTTACAAATTATTCGCTGCTGATCTCAAAGTTTATATAAGTACAATAACAGATGCGACCAATAAGAAAGCCATAAAAACTATGAGAATTTATAATGCATGTAATATCACTCTATAACTCGCATTTGGTGTTTTTCATTGTCTGTTTTTCTTTTCTTTTTTTCCTGTTTGTCTAGTTAGTGTAGTATTTGTACCATAATAACGGTTGTAAAGTTTGTAAAACTTCAAATAAAAAAAAAATACATGAACATTGGAACCAGTTGGAACACATCTTGGCGGCTCCTGATGACATATCTCCTAGGCAACCGGGGCGGGGCCAAGACATCAAGGCAAGGTTCCTTGACATTGAGAAACACCCCAGTCACACCCATCTACTCCCAGACCATGGGAAACCGGAAGAACGAACAAACGAATGCAAGTCAATGGGGCTAAAACGCTATTTTCTAATTCCGCTTGTTTTGTGCCATGGATTTCACATATGACGTCCGTGAATTTTAAAGATGCATTTTGATACCAAGAAAGCGCTTATTTTTGATTGGGGGGAATCGTTATTTTAGGTTTTGTTTGAAATTAAGTCCAGGACTACAAATGCGCATCAAGAAAGTGACATCATCAAACCAGACACGGAGAAAAACAGAAGGAAAATGGCAGAAAGCTCAGCAAACGTCAAACCCTTCCTTCAGGAGGTAAAACCCACCATAAATCCGGCCATTTAGTCAGTAGCGTCTACGCTAGAGGAGAGTAGATTCTCTGGTGACGTTATAAATGCGACACGCCTATGTCTGATTTGTATTCTTGCTAACAGCAAACTTTTACAAGCTGATATCTCGAGCTATTGCAGTACTAAATAAGACAAAGTAATTGTTGAACATAAAAGCTTTGTATATTCTGTTTAACTCGTTAATTCTTCCATATCTGACATATTGTATCGAAGTATGGGGAAGTACCTACAAAACATATACACATTCAATTTTTCTTTTACAGAAAAGAGCCGTGAGAGTTATGATTGGAAGTGGATACAGGGATCATTCGGATCCGATGTTTTCACAACTAGACCTAATGAAATTTGATAAACTAGTAGAATATCATTTATTAAAACTTATGTACAAAGCACATAAAGGAGTTCTACCAATACATATTCAAAAGAAATTTGTAAAAAGAGAAAGTAATTGTCAGGGACTTGCACAAACCAGCCAGAGAAGCACTGCTCATGAGACTCAAAACTCCATTTTATTTTGGAGCAGCTTCAAAGTTAACAGGAACTTTAACCTAGTCACAGCACAAGACACTCTATCCAGAAAAAAAAAACATTTCAGACACACCAGGTTCAACTTAAAAAGTGGCTGATCAGACCACTCTACATACAGTACAAGAGGGGAACAATTAACATACAATTAACACACACATCCTCACACACACAAACTAACCAGTCTAATCAATTCAGGTAACTCAAATAACTAAATCATAATTACAAACTTCCTATCCCTAACAGAAAACATCTACATTAAATTAAACACAATTATAAACATGAATCTCCCCTCCCTTGGGAGTTGGTAGATCCCAGAAGTGCTGATTAGGCTTCCTGAGGAGATGAGCTGCAGGTAAAGATAAAGGATGTGGCGTTTGGAATTTGAGAACGTTGTTGAATGGCAGTAGGTCCAATTGGTGCTAGAGTTTCTTAGGAAAATTAAGGTATTTAGTAGAATTTTGTTTTTTATTATTTTTCTATATATATATATTTTTTTTTCTCTCCTCGCTCTGACTCACACTCCTGCACAGTAGGTGGCGGTAATGCACCTTAAGTTGGTTGCCACCCGCCATTTAACCGGAAAGGAAGAAGAAGAAGAAGAGCTGCAGGTGTGAGACTCCATGGGAAACTCCAAGTCACTGAGGTGACAGACACTGCTGTCACAGTAATTATAATCTAAAAGGAACTGATATTTAAAAAAAAAACAAGATTCCGAACAGCGATAATGGAAAGATGTACCTCAGTTGAAGGTGTCTATTTATGGAATAGTTTAGACAGTCAAATAAAACAATCTAAATCATTTTCTTTATTTAAAAAAAGGTGTCAAACGTATCATGATGACATAATAAGACCTTAAGTGGGCTGATAGACTTGTTTTGTGTTGGGGTGGGGGGTAGGTGAACGACGACAGGCTTTGAGTTGAACAGCTGATGTCTTGATGTGAAAAAGGGGGCAGATATTATAAGTGTTTGCTTCTTTCTGCTCCTTTTCATTCATGATTATTTGTGAACATGAATTGTTTTAATGTAACTTTTATTTGATTGATTGAATGAAATAAACAAAAAAATGAAAATGAAATGAAATAAATCTCAAAGTGGCCAATGCTCAACAGCGCACAATTATAATTTTGTGCAGCACCACGAGACAGGGAGTGGACCAAGCAAAATAATGCTGTATTGCCTACATTGTGCAGGGTAAGACTATCACTTTTATGGGTTTATGAAAAATCATGCATCATTTCTGAAAGGGTAAAACTCCAGATTGACGTAACTTGGTTAAGTAAATTCAACATTTCATTTCTTAGAGTGTACTTTCCTTCTCTTTGGTTTTATCGAAATAAGAATTATTTAGGAAATTGTTGATTATTCTTTGAAAACTAAGGAGTCTGAGCCGCTAAAGAAATATACGACTTATGTAATAAATTCCACACACAATGTTCCTTCATCTCCCCAACGCTTAGAGAACGAGGCAGTCTCTTCCTATTTGTTCTCTCAGCTCCAGTTTCACACATTTTCTCCTCATAAATCTCTTACTCAATATTACCCACACCTTCCCCCTCACGTTCTCTCCTCTTCCTCTCTCTCTCTCTGCTTCAGTGGTGGCTGCCAATGACCTGAGGTGGCAGACGCAGGGAATATTCCGCCCGTTTGTGGAGGTCTTCATTATCGGCCCTCACCTGAGCGACAAGAAGAGGAAGTATGCCACCAAGTCCAAGAACAACAGCTGGGCTCCCAAATACAATGAAACCTTCACTTTGTAAGTAGATGGTGCTGCATTATTTTGTGGGTGGGGGGGGGGGGGGTGATGTTATGATGCTTATGTGACTTTCCTGCTCTGCAGCACCCTGAGCAATGAGGTGGGTCCTGAGTGCTACGAGCTGCAGGTGTGTGTGAAGGACTACTGCTTTGCCCGAGAGGACCGCACCGTTGGCATGGCTGTCCTGCAGCTGAAGGACTTAGCCTCTAAGGGTAGCGTCGCCTGCTGGCTGCCGCTGGGTAAGCGCATCCACATGGATGAGACGGGCCTCACCGTCCTGCGCATCCTCTCCCAACGCAACAACGACGACGTAGCCAAGGAGTTTGTTAAGCTTAAGTCGGACCAACGATCTGCTGAAGAGGGCCGCAGCTAAACAGCTAAAGGCCCCGTCTGGAGCCAAATCAGACACCTACTGCGCCAGAGCGCTGCTGCGCCTCTGCGAGTCACTGCCCCGTTCATCTAGAGGTGTCAAAGCACAGAGAAGACAAGCATCACTTCACACCCAATGCTGTAAATACATTTAGGTCCAACACTCTTCCTGAAAATAGAAAAAATACAAGTGTCTTTATTGTTGCTGATGTTTGAAACCAACTTTGGAATTTATTCACTGCATTTCTACCTTCCTCTGTTCATAGAGGACACACGCACACACACACACACACACACACACACACACACACACATACACACACGCAGCTAGACTTTTCTGATCGTTCAGGGGGAGAAAAATCTCTGTAGCCTTTACTACTTTGGCTTGTTTTCTCACATTTCTCTGCCTTTTCCCTTTCATCCCGATACGAGCCCATTTACAGAAGAGACCGCAAGTGCCAACAGGTAATCACAGCAGATGGGTTCATGACATGACCAGAACGGCCGCTCGGCCTCTAACATTCCTGATGTCGGATGGGAAACACGCAGAACCTATCTAGTCAATAGTTTGAGTTTATTTTCTGCTTCGAGATTATATTTTAATAACTCTATAAATGATCGTATATAATGAAATATGAGAGGAATATAAAGATACTTATCCAATAGACGTGTAATACGTCAACTAACGTCCTCGTCTTTTTGTGTGTGTCCGTCTACCCTGTAACAGAGCACACTGCCTGACACCTTCAATGCCTTCTGTCTTGTTGACCCTCGTGCATTAATGTGTGTGTGTGTGTGTGTGTGTGTGTGTGTGTGTGTGTGTGTGTGTGTGTGTGTATGTGTGTGTGTGTGTGTGTGTGTGTGTGTGTGTGTGTGTGTGTGTGTGCGTGTGTTCTTTATGTTGACCTCGTGTAGTCACAGTGTGCCGGTTACCTGCATCACAAGCTGATGAGATTTGGATTTGTGAAGTTTTCTTGACTTTTGCAAACCCAAAACTCGTGTTCGGTGATGTTTTTTGTGTGTGAGTGTGTGTTACTATAGACATTCCTTGAATCCCTGTTTGTTAGTAGGGCATCATAGAGGAGGAGATTATCGGTCATCTTCTCTTATAAACAAACTTGCCAAATGAAATCCTGTGTGTGTGAGATTAGAAACCCGATGTAGGTCCGCTGGGACATCTTGATCTCTGATGATCCTGCACCCTCTGCTCCTTTTTGATGAGGGGCTTCATATCCCAATGAGAATTAAAAATTAAAACCTCTGCTAAAGGGCTGCAAATCCAGACCAGAACAGGTCCGGTTCTGACATTTAAAAGAGGGCATTCCATATTCCAATCTGCACCGAGACGCAGAGCAGATTTACAAGCACACAGTTTTTGCTGCACTGATGAAAAAAGTCGGTTCTTTTATTTTGTCAGCGAGATTCATCTAAATTAAGCATTGTCTCTTTTGTGTGTAACAAAAACATTTTAAACCGATCTACAGCATGTCTGTCACATTTACTGAGGTCACAGAAATTTATTTGTGAGATTTTTGAAAAAAAGAAACAAGAAATAAAACTAATGTTGTTTTCAGGACTCAAAAAGTAGCAAAATACTTAAAAAAAATAATTGTTTTGTTTTTTTATTAGTCGTCACCAAGGAGGGCTGCCAACCCCCCCTCCAGACACCGGATCATTAATCTGGCCTCATTATCTGAACGCGGCGTTTTAACTGAACTCTATGCATCTGAGCTGTGTTGATTAGTCATTCTGGAAGCATTCTTCTAATGTTTACATGGTGGGTTATTATTATTCTTACTATATCAGCACAAGTGTTAAATGATAGGTGTACAATGCTGTTTCTGTTTCAGTGGGCCAAATATCAAAAGCTGTTGTGGCGTTGATTAGACGTTGGTTTGTGATCAGCTGGATCAGAGCTGGATGGTTGTAAATAGCTGCGATGTAACTAAACACACATCAGACTCTGTCAAGTGACGTCCGCTGCTCTTTTTGTAGACTTGAAGTTTTGTGCCGAGCGACTGGGGACACGTAGCGTCTGAGGGATCACAGGAGACCGAGTACACATTGGAGAGGAATGCCAAGCCATATGCATCTGGAGCTAAATAACAAAAAAAAAACACACCAGTTTCTGATTTTTACTGGTAAATGACATCATTTTCCATCATGCAGACTTTAAACGAGAATGAAAATTGAACACGTTTAAACTCTCTGATGTGTACAAGGTCTGTCGTCACAAGGGGACATCCGCACGATCTTTTGATAACTAAAAGACAGGCACACATAGCTGGAAATGCCACGAAAACGTTCTTTATTTCTTGCTGTTGACAATGAAACTTCAGATGGTCGATCAGGGTGACACGGGAGCAGTTAGAGGGCAGAAGAAGCACAACGAAAAGCACACCGGTGGACAGACATGCATGACCGTTCCCGCTCTGCCCGACTGACTGCGCTACGAAAACATATAGAAAATAAAATAGACGACGCCGGTGGCGTACTTCCAGGAGAGGTGCATGATGGGAACAACAAAACAAAAACTTGTATTGTGCCAGCACGCAGAATTTGTTGATGTTTAAATGCCAATTGTTGTCTTCTATATTTTGATATTTCATTCTTGTTTGCTATTTTTCAAATGTCTGTGAATATATAAATATGTATTACTGATGATGTGTAGTGGTACAAGGTACTTCGCATGAGAGTTTTTTTATACACGAGATGTTTCTAATTCTGTTTTTGTTTTTATTTTTATTATCATTGTTATGGTTGTTCTTACTGGGCGGTTTGAGGCTCCCGACACTACAGTCTGACTGTTGGTTCCTGCTGCCAATAAAACATGTTAAAAAAAAACATATTTTGATGCTTCAGTATAAAAACTCTGCAGAGTTTTTCAACATTTGTAGAAGTTAGTTGATATTTACTCAGCCTAGATGAACATTTTGGGATGAATCCGTGAGGAATTAAGGGCTTATTAAGTAAGGGGTCAGCAGTAGCTCAGGAGGTAGAGCGGGTTGTCCAGTAGTCGGAAGGTTGCAAGTTTGATCCCGGCTCCCGACAGAGAATTCTGCTGTTGTGGCCTTGGGCAAGGCACTTAACCCACCTCGCCTGCTGCTGGTGGTCAGAGGGACCGGTGGCAGCCTTGCCTCAGGGCAGCTGTGGCTACTTTGTAGCTCATCACCATCAGTGTGTGAATGGATGAATGATACACTGTAGTGTAAAGCGCTTTGGAGTCATCTGACTCTGAAAGGCGCTGTACAAGTACGGGTCATCATTTATCATATTTACAATTGTACTGGTCAAAGTTCAGCAGGAATTAAACGTAGGTCATTCAGAGAGTCATCTGTAAGACTTTACAATAAGGGTCCCTTTATTAACGTTCCAGATATTAATTATAAAGTGTCCTTAACCCACTGTGCAAAGACCTAGTCTGGACATCCTACAGATGTGGTCTGGACCGACGGACTTAATATAGACACGATCTGCACGTCCATGTGACATTGACGTTGGCAGGGAAGGTTTGGACCAAGGGTCCAAAATAGGTTATTACTGCTTAATAGTGCACCAAGTAACGGTGAGAAAGGGACCCTTATTTTAAAGTGTCACCAAGGTCAGATAATCATTATTCATAACTTTTCTACAGAAAAGTACTTAAAAATGGACAAAACTTTCCTTTAAACTTGCTAAAACAGTTCAATATTCCCATCTGGTCTTCTAGGTTCTGCGTAAAAATGAGATCTTGAGGGAGTCTGGGATGACTAATTCCTCAACACTGATGATGGGGGGAGGCGAGGAGGGGAACGTCACAGGGAACACTCTCCTCACATCCAGAAGGAGCTGCGGAGGCTGACTGTCAGAGCGGCCTCTGAGGAGCTCCTGGAAAAAGCAAAAATAGAGACGGGTGACGTGTGAGACTCTCCACGCGGTGAGCGGTCTAAACTCCACAGCTGCAGGCCATACCTGGACCTTACGCATGAAATTCAGTGAGACTTTTTCATCAAGATCACTGTGTGGAGTGTAGAGGGCCAGAATCTTTGCAATCTGTCAAATAAATAAAAAAAATACCAGCACACATTTAAACCAATGACTTCACCTGCAGGTTTTAATGAGCAGACCCACCTGTTTGCTGGAGAGGGCAGTGCAGGTCTGAACTATGGCCTGGGCATCTGCATCCGTCTTTTTCCCCACTTGCAGCAGCTGAACTGCCTGGATGAGAGGCTCCAGTGTGGAAACAGCGCCCCCTGTCTGTAGACCTCTGCTTCGCAGCCACTCCTCCAGCAGGCTCACGTTGTAGCTGAGCAACAAACCAAGGTTAGAAAGAAACAAGGGAAGAATCACAGATAAAAGTCAAGGAAACCCTACAGTTGAGATTATTATATAACCCTGAACATAAACAAGGTCTCACGTTTATCCGTTTTATTGATTTAAGCCTGATTCATGGTTCTCCGTCAGCTCCAACTGGGAGAGACACGCACGCACGGACGGAGATGTTTTGTTCTCATACTTCTCCTCTCCTGGGGAGTGTTGCAAAGCAATTCCCCGCCAGGACAACAGAGGGCGTAGCGTTGTTCTGTGGTCTCCTGTCATGTATCTGGTCCAAGATAGTGTTTATATTGTGTTTTTTGTATATAAGAGACTTTTTAACACAAACAAATTTGTCTCTCATTCTCCTCCACCTCTTCATGCCCTCTAAAACCTCTAAACCCACGTTTCCTGTCATTTCCGTCCACAAATAAAACGCTTGCTGCATCTTTTCACTCCTCCAGTCACGGGGAAATTAAACGTTCATGTTTTTAGAGTTTTTTCGCGAGGTATTCTTCAAGCTGCTCCGTGTTGGCCGCTAGTTATCCTCGGCTCTCTTTATGTTTTTGAGGGCACAATGGTGTAGACGACAGCGGTGCCATGACCAATCACAAGCTTGCGTTGTCCGTCTTGACGGACGGATGTTCAGAAAAGAGAGCTCGACTCCGTCCGTCCATGCGGAGCTCTCCAGCAGGCCCGCAAGGACGGATAATGGCGTTGCGTGCCTCCGCACTGACACAGACGGAGAAGCATGAATCAGGCTTTAGTTGTGATAAAAAGTGTTATTGGGGAGATTTCTTTCCTCAAAAAGAACACATCAGTTTTCTGAAAACAGATTATTTGATGACTGTATCAGAGCGGATTTGTCTCTACCGGATCTGAATGCCCCGGCTCCAGCAGCACATGTCTTTCCTCAGCAGTAGGTTGTTGAGGGCGCTGGCTGTGATGAGGTAGGTGAGCTGCCTGAAGGCCTGTTCAGTCAGACTCTGGGGCAGAGCCTGGCGGGTCAGAGCGGTGTGAAAGGCTCCAAGCTCCCTCAGCAGAGACGCCATCGTGGGGGCGTCCGCTCCCACTGGCCTAGGCTCCGAGCCCGCTCGCTTCCTGGACGCTGCCAGCTTCACCACCGAGCCAGACAGACCTGTGATGGTCTCACTCTCCAGCAGCGCTGGGACTGAGGAAGTGGAGGATGTAACTCAGAGGAGGGCGAGGCACATGCAGCACTATCTCAATGCGTGCTGAAAAGTTACCGATGAGTTTTTGAAGCCGAGTCTCAGTGATGGAAAGAAGCTGCTGATAGGCCTGGATGCAGAGGTCACTCAGGGTGCGGATCAGGTCACTCAGGTCAAAGGTCAAAGGAACCAGTTCATCTGAGTCACGGTTCTGGAATTTAAAGGGATATTCCACCTACTAAAATGTAGTCATCAGAGCTTGATAAGGGAAAAAGTATTTTGTAACCAGTCCAACCAATCACCTAATCTGGCATTTCATTAGCTTTAGCTTAGCATAAACAGTGTAAGTGAATGGTAACAGCTAGCATTTCATACGAAAAGTCATAAAAATTACGCAATAATGGTACAAATTTTTCTTCTTGACCTTTTATTTTCATCGCAATTTTTTTCTCATTTTAGTAATATTTTAATCACTTTTTAAAATATTTTTATACTTTAATTTTTTTTGTTTTTGTGAAGCGCCTCGTGATTTTTATCTTGAGAGGCGCTATATAAAAGATCGTTTTCTTTCTTCTTTCTTTCTTTCAAAGTTCATATCGACAGCAAATGAGAAATTATGCAAAGACCTCCATTAAGTCCTGTCATTAAGTTTAATGTTTTCACCCGAATGACAGTAAAGGCCTACCTTTAGCGCTGCAGCGCCATGTTCTTGAGGTTTGCAGCAGCGGCTTACAGCGGTGCAAGGCTAAACCGGTTATCAATCATTACAGAGTAATTTTCATGACTTTTTCATACAAAATGCTAGCTGTTACCATTAATACATAATTTATGCAAAGCTAAAGCTAACAGAATACTGCCAGATTAAGGGAAAGGTCGAGCTGGCTGCTAAATTCTTTTTCTGACTTATTTAACTCTTGGGAATATGGCAATAGATTAAATCACATGTAGGGTAGAATGTCCTGAAACCAGATTGTCTATAAATAAAAACAAATAATGTGTTCTGTGTGAAATAATGATGTAGGTGACCTGATTCGACGAGTGTTGGGCCAACAGGTCGTGAAGCAGACAAATGTTTTTTAGCCACAAAGCGGTCATGTCTAGGTCAGCAACATGTTTCTGTAGAGACAATCAAATCAAACGAGTCCTCTGTTAATGCCTGACCTCAAAGTCTAACATGAAGACAAAGTAAAGTTCAAACAGGGACGGATGAAGAGAGGAGGAGCCTGGATTACCTTCAGAGCGGCCTTCATGGCAGAGATGGCGGCGCCACAGAGCGAGCGAGCTCGACTTTGGTCTCCGCTGCAGTCGGCCTGACGGACACACAGGAACAGGACGCTGGCCGGAAGACCAGGAGACAGAGACAGAGCGCTGTCCACACGGATGTCTGAAGGACAGAAAGGGACGCTGCAAATCCAAGTCTCACAGTTCAATAAACACGTTGACTTTAAAAATGCTAACGTCTGTTAGCTTCATATCGGCATTTCATCAGGTTGAGATTGTAAAGAATGATCAGGAAGGACCCAACATTGCACATAATAATTGTCCATCTTTAGGCTTTATGGAATTTTTGTATTATTTTATGCCTAACAAAGTTTTTAAAAAAAATCTCACCTGTGACGAGGTTCTTGATGAGTTTGTTTTCATCTCTTTTCCTACACTCCATCAAGCCAGTGGCGGCTGCTGGTTTCAGCTGCGACGGACAGAAAGCCTCTGTGGTCGAAGCTGTCGGGAAAACTATAAAAGCAAAAATCACCTCGGCACAAAATGGACGGGAAGCAAACATCCCAGTAACGAAGACCGTTCCCTCCCAACCTGCCGAGGTGAGCTCTCACCGTGCGTCAGCAGCCGTCTGAGCAACGCCGTGTTCCTCAGCTCCTTCACCTCCCTCCTCAGCCTCACACACTCACGCTCTCTGGCTTCTAGCAGCTCCTGAAGATCCTTTTGGAAACAACAGATTTCCAACTGCTGCATACTGTGGGTGTTTGCTGTGAATGTTCACCGGTGACTTGACTAGATCTGCACCTGCGTCTGCGCTGCAGAAGAAGAGCAGGTGATGGCTTGACTGAGCTGAGACCTCAGAGCCTCCAGCTCCTCCTCCCGACGAGCGTCCTGCTGACGGAGCTGGCGCTCCAGGAACCTGATTACCACAACGACACAGGTCAAACTTCATGGGTTTCTGTGGAACACTAACAGGCGTGAGTGAGTGACACACTGACTTGTTGGCCACTCGTACAGCATCGTAGGCGTGCTCCAGGTCTTCTCTCTTCACCTTCACAGCCGGATCTTTGGGCACATCTGTTTTCTCCATCAGCTGATCCTGTCAATCAAAAGTGTGACTTTAGATTCTTTTGTCATCATGAAATGTTTTTCATGGCTGAACTCTCCTCTTTTCTCACCAGTGGCGTGTCTAAGCTCCACACCGAAAGCCTCCTCTCCTGACTGGGAGATGTCACGCTGTGTCTTCGTTCCTCCTCCGGAGACGACGGGAAGGGAGACGTGAAGAGGGAGGTGGGAGACTGGGGAGACAGCGGAGTTGGTGAGGGGGAGAGAGGCTCGAAGCTCAGACTCTGAGTGGAGTCGGTCCTTCTGTGTCCTTTTCCGCGCTGTTTTGTGAGGAGAACATTAAAAAAACATGGAGCTTGGAGATGCTTTAGAGCGGGAGGAGAACGTTCAGGAGCAGCTCTGAACCTCGGAGAGCAGACTCATCTCCCTGAGGTTGTCGTATCGTTGCTCCAGCCTGGTGAAGTCCCTCAGCAGGCCCTGGTACTTCAGCCTCTCCTCATCCAGTTCTGTCCGAAGAGCCAAGCTGGCCTGCAGCACCGCCTGATGCACACACTCTGCACACACAGAGAAAAGAGGTGGAGTCAAAGGTGCAAAAGGAGTGACACGGAAACCAGAGGAGAAGAATTCAGAGTGTTCGGAAAGCAGAGATCCACCTCGTTGTGTTTTTTCTTGCTCAAGCAAACGAGCGGCGAGATCCTTTTTCTCCATCTCAACACTTTCCTTTTCTTTCTTCAGAGCTTGTAACTCCTTAAATAACAGAAGATACAGATGTTAGAATCATTTATAGATTCTAATAAATCTAAATGTGAAACAGCTCACCTGTCGTAGGTGTAGGATCTCCAGATCAGCTTTCTCCTCGGCTCTTCTCCTCTCCTCCACCTCCTTCTCACTGACAGCAGGACCAGGAGGAGGTTTTCCACGTTTCTGGCTCTCCAGCTTCTGTATGATCGCCCTCAGTGCCTCCAGCTCACTGCTGAAGGCCTCTCGTTCTGCGTTGAGGGTCTCTCTCAGAGCACAACTCTCCCTCACCTACAGCACACAGAAACAGCTTCTTGTTGCCAACATTCACTGAATCCCGACCTCTCTTTGGGTGTTGTGTGGTTGTAACCCACCTCCTGGTCTACTCTCAGCTGCAGTTGCATCAGTTTGACCTCCATGCCCTTGTTCAGCTCCCTGTAGCGTTCCACTGAGCGGGCTTCGGCCTTCAGTTTCAGCAGCTCCCTCCTGCTGGCCTTGCGCCGGACGCAGCACTGCATGAACACCACCGCCCTACGCACCCGCCTGTAGGCACATCTGGCCAGCCACCCTCGCACCCAGGCTTGCAGCAGCGCCGCCGCCCTCACCTCCACCAACTGGAGATCAGATTTAAACTGTAGTTTGTGTTTTTAACTCTAAAAGACGTGGTTCCCGCACTGACCTGTCTGTGTCTGCGGCGTGCCAGCGAGCCCCTGGTGAAGGCTTGGATGGTGACTGTGGCGCGCCGGATCATGAGGAAAAGCTGTCGGACCACCGCCATGCGGAAGGTCTTCTGGATCACTACGGCTGCTCTGGTGTAGCGAAGTGTCAGAGCTAGTCTGCAGCCACAGAAGGAGAAAATCACAGGACAGGTCCTTCAACATAAAGCTTTTAAATCAAAATAAAATTAAGAATTCTGCTTTGATTATAGAACAGTGAAGCAGACACGAGCTGGGCTGAAATAGAAACATTAGTTCTAAGTAGTTAGTCAACAAATCCCTGACTGATAAAATTTGGAATTTGGCTAATAAATAGTTCCTATCAGCTAAATTTAATTTAACAAAATCAACAGAAAAGAGTTTTTTATTTAACTCTATGAATATCAATAATCAGAATTGAATGGAAACTTAATAAAAAAAGTATTTTTAAATAAAACTGGAAAATGTTTATTTAAATAAGATCAGAGTTTGACATTAACAATCCTCTAAGGGGAACAATTTGTGCTTTTAGGGTCATCCTTTAACTCTTAACCCACTTCCTGTTGAGGTTCAATTTGATCACAAATCACAACCTCACTAGTAAAATTAGGAATTCATTGTTCATTGCACAGAAATCTGGACCAGACCATGACACCACCACCACCATGCTAGGACCCTCTCCTTCATATATCAACACACAGCCTTCATGGGTTGGTTGTAAGTGTAACTAGAGCTGCTTTGTTGCTGTTAACTGGGAGGTAAATGGAGTTTCCTTCATTTGTGCTTAACAAACACTAAACGTTGTTATTTTTAGACTGTATAACAACTTTGTATGATTCTCAAAAATCTCCTTTCTCTCCACACCACCAGCCCTAATGAGAAGACTTTATTTATTTGTTTGTTTGTTTGTTTTTTCTTACAAAAAAGCTGATTAAATCAGTTAATTTTAAATCTAGGACTAGTTTAGGTCACTGCAGAAATAATGTAAAGTATAAATAATCAGACACAGATGAGCATTGATCCTCACCGCCTGGCCAGAGTTCCTCTGCTGTATCTCTGTAAGATACCAGCAGCCCAGCAGATCCGCCGGAATCTGACTCTCTGCAGCCATCCTTTCAGCCGGCTCTGGATCATCACAGCAGCAACTCGCAGCCGCTCAGATCTCAGCCTCTCCAAAACGGCCACCTGACCTGCTCGGAAAAACACTTTGGTTTTCCCAAAGCAGTACTGGTCTGGGTCTGGGATGAGCTCAGGCAGGGCCTGTCTGCACAGAGCCTGGGCCTGATCCTGGTGCTGAGGTCCCCGGAGCAGAAGGCGGTACCTGCTAAAGAACTCCTCATACGTCCATCTAGGTTTGCCATGCGAGTTTCAGGAGAAAAACAACCAGATGTTTATGAAACTTTACATTTTTTTGTAGGAATTTAACAGAGAGAGAACATCTTAAAAGTGCTCAGAACCTGGATGGATAACCTGCGGCGCTGATTCGGATCGTCTCCAGAACACCACAAGCTCTCAGCTGCTGCACTGTCCTCTTAGGATCAAACCTAACAAAGTATTTTATACCTGCTAAGTAAATGTAAGTGCACGTTACCAAGTAAAACACACTTTACTGAGAAGGTGTAGCTATGCAAACGCACATAAAAGGTGTTTTGAGATCGTTGGGTTTGATGCAGCGGACGTAGTGAGGGGTGGTGCTGTTGAGAGTGTCCATCAGCATCTGTAAGGACTGACGAAACTGACGACAGAACAACAGCAGTGAGAGAAGAACTGAGGGACAGAACTCACCTGTAACAGGTGAACTCATCTTACCTGGAAGCCCACGGTCAGCTTGTGTTCCCTGGTAGCTCTCTTCCCAGAGAGGAGGCTCCCGTTGGCCACAGACGACAGCTGGGTCTGCTGCTGGAACAGCTCAGCCACCAGCTCAGACTGATGCAAACACACACCTCAGTGACACAGGTCACACTCTAACACCTGAGTTTTGCATTCAGCACGTTACTACCTGACTTGCTCTGAGAATGTTTATGAGCTCCTCAAAGACCGTGTCTCTGTTTTTGTCCAAAAAGCCGGAGCTCTCATACTGCACCTGGTTCGAGAGAGGGGAAGAAACTTTTGGTACACGCTTTTTGGTTTGGATTCAAATATGAGACGCGGCGGGTGATGTACCGTATCAGCAAAGTGCAGGATGATGAAGGAGCTGTTGGACATGCGGGGTTTCATGAAGTGAGGATGGGGCTTACTGGCCAGGTGTTGGTCGTACAGCTTCAGCACCCAGCTTTCATCTGAACCTTTAGGCATCTGCGTCAAACCCACGGAGGATTAGGAGGACAGAAGGGATATCAAACAGGATACACCAATGTAAGCAAGCAAGCAGGACAGACCCTGCACTCCTCGTCCAACAGGTCAAACAGTCCCAACTGTCCCTCGATGAGGTTGATGCACTGCTGATTGTCGCTGAATTCAATCCTCCTCCAAGCCAGCTCCTCCCGCACGTACTCCTCCTGCTCTAGGTGGAACACGTGCTTCAAACCAGAACAAAACCAAAAACACAGCTCGGTCAACTTGATCAGAAATAGGCTTTCCATTCCTCTGAAAATGTCTGAATGTTTCCAAGAAAAACAGAAACATTTTGACTTCTCTCCTCTGATTGGCTAACAGCTACACGATTCTATCATTGACCCCATTTGCTTTGCAACGCTGATGTCTTATCTCCAAAAATAACTGAAGCCTGGAGGAGTTCTGCTGTGTGGTGGAGGTGCTAATGCTAACGATTAGCTTCTACTAACTGAGACGCTCTCTGCTGTTTCCTGGACGATAAACCAACAACAACCTGACCCATTGTGAGTCAAGATGGGTGAGTCCATGAATGTTAAGCGATAGCGTGACGTAGATCTGTCAGGGCTTTCTAATCCTAGGGTTTCACCGTCTATTTTCTATCAGAAGCTAATGCAGGAAATATGTGTAGCAGAGTAACTGCAGGTTTAAGGGAGCCAAATTTAAGACTTTTTAAGACCCCTTTTAAGGCCACTATGACCAAATTTAAGCTATAATTTCCAGCTATTGCCTGGAACCGGTGCTAACCATGTCACGAATGTGGGATTAGCCATCCAGTTACCATTAAACTTGCACTTCCTCATGGTGCAAGCTCCCACTAGCTTAACCAGCTAATGTGCTCATCTAAAAATAGCTCCCTTTCACAACCAACTGAATGTGTACAGTTCCACTTATGGCAACATCATACACAAAAAATGCTGAACACTAACTAGACATTCACGAAAATTTTATAGAAATAATATAATCTTGTTTATTGGGTCTTTGGTAATTCAAGACCTTTGGAAACTCTATTTAAGGATTATTAGTCATTTTTAAGGACTTTCAAGGCCTTAAATTTGGAAAAGCTAATTTAAGACTTTTTAAGACTTTTTAAGGACCCGCGGATACCCTGTGTAGGAGACTATTTTCACGTTCAAAAAAGTCGGAGTGATCGATTATAATCAGAAATAATAATAAAAAATGTGTTTTCAGTGAAGCACATCTTTAAGAGAACAAGCAGGAGCTAGTCACGCCAACCCCTCCCCTTCTCCGGCTGCTATAAACTCAGAAGCTGCAATATCTTGGAAAGGCTCAGAGCAGGTTGTGACATCACAAATGGGGACTTTTTGAAACAACTTATTTTAGACAGTTAATTCTTAAAACCAAACACTGACAAAAACAAACAGGTGAATGTTTATTTTCCACATCTGGAGTGTTTACAGAGGCAGTAGAGACCCACGTAGCATCACAAACAGATGTGGGTGAGTTTTGTTTATGTTTCCTTTAACCTAAAATAAATAATTAACCTTTTAGGCCTCTCAACGTTATGACATGACTGTCAAATTTCATGTGTCTGGAAATCAGGTTTCTAATGAGCACAGGACAGGTGGGTAATAGTAAACAAAAATAAGGATGTAATTCATGTTATAGAGTTTAGGAAAGCCTCAAAAGCAGAGAGAAAGTCCACTAAACTCTGGAGGTGAATGATTATTAATCAGAACACTAAACAACAATTCTGAACAAATCACGATTCTCATTATTGACTCATAAAAGTTCTCAAACACTAATAAAATGAGACATGTAGGTCAGAACATCCCATAACTCACCCTGTTGAACTGCTGCTGAAGTTTCTCGTTTGCATAATTTATACAAAACTGTTCAAAACTGTTCCGATCAAAAGTCTCGAACCTGCTCCAGAAGAGAGATTGGTCAGACCACTTTGAGGACACACGAGGAGATTTTACCATAGACAGCAAATCATCACTCACCCGTAGATATCCAACACCCCTATGAAGGATTTGGCCTTTGACCTCTGGGTGCGTAAGGCCGAGTTGAGCCTCTGGACCGTCCACGTAAACAGCTGACCGTAGATTTGTTTAGCAAGAGCATCTCTGGCTTCCAGAGCCTGCTGGCCGGTCATGGGTTTCACCAGCATCTCTCCTCTGACTGCAAGCCTGCGATGGCACAGCCAGTGGGCCATCTGAGATCTCTCCACTCCCAACAGCTTAGAGAAGACAGCCAGAGAGCGGTCCTCTGCCTGAGGAACAAACACGTCACACGTGGCTGCTCAGATTTTTGAGATTAGAGAAAAAAAATTAGATTCTTTGTTACATCAATGTAACTCCGGTCAGAACTTCTGCCACTGGCTTGAATGTTGACGTTTCCCAAATGCAGAATGGATGAAAGGATCCTGAAGAGCTCCATCTGCTGGTCAGGCTGCACACCTGCGGTTTCACCAAGAAGACAAGTCAAGTATTTGCTGTTTTCTCTTCTACTCCTTTCTGTTTTATTCCACAGAGCCCATAAATAAAATCCCAGCTGACCCAGAACGGTGAAAGCATTACGAGTCCGCTCCAGGTCGGACAAGTCATCGGTACCAGGAATCTGAAAGTCTCCTCCCTGGTTGGTATAGCGGAAATGTTCTGGCGCGTCTGGAGCCAACAGAGCGCATACTCAGATTATCAGTAATCTGGATGATTTAGACAGATAACTTGAATTTGAAGGGGTCTCACTCAGGTTGAGGGTTCTCAATTCTGGCAGCTCTCTGGATGCACACAGCTGATAGAAGATGTGGTAGTTCCTCTCTGATGACGCCTTCACCACATAAAAAATATACAAAACATAAATTAGCACAAAAGACAAAACTTTTCAGGTTTTAAAAGATAATCCTGCTGAACAGCAGTGTGTGAGTGTCACCTGGAACACGACCCTCGACTTCTCTAGCAGATATGTCCTCATGTTGGCACTGATGATGTCCCCCTTCTTACCAAATCCGATCTCTATGTACTTCCCAAAACGACTGCTGTTGTCGTTCCTTATGGTTTTGGCATTCCCAATGGACTGTCAGCACAACCCTGAGTTAGTCCTTGTCTCTGACTTTAGGAAGAGAGGAAACCTGTCAGCCTTTTACCTCCATGATGGGGTTTGACGACAGAACTCTCTCCTCCACGCTGGTCTTCTGAGCTGCTCCTCCAACCACAGCAAAGTATCTCATGGTGAATTTGGCAGAGACGGTTTTCCCAGAGCCAGACTCCCCACTGATGATGATGGACTGGTTCTTCTCCTCCCTGCTTGCACAAAGAATGCATCAGCAGTTGGATCCACCATGACTCCTGCTCCCTCATCTCTCACCTGGTCATGGTACGGTACGCTTCCTCCGCCACAGAAAAGACGTGAGGCTCCATGTCCGTCATGTCCTGGCCACTGTAAGCATCTATCACTTCCTCACCATATATGGGCAGCTGGTCATAAGGGTTGATGGCCACCAACACAATGCCTGAAGGAACAGAATGTGACGTCACCATGTGGGTTCTGAGTGACAGAAGTACACTGGCTCTATGTGACAAAGTCCCATCTGTACCGGGTCGGCCCGGGCCAGGTAGCCCCAGTCGGCCCCAGCCTGGCCCGGTTGATTCCACACATCCTTGTCTTAAGCCCATGTGGGCTGATTCTACCCACCAATCAGAGGCTTGCTCTAATGGAAGGTGTGAATTTGCTGTCAGCAGTGGGTGTGTTGGCCCTGGTCGGCCTGAAGCAGACCCCCTCGAGAAGAGGGCTGAGAATGAGCCTTGGTTGGCCCGGAAAAATACCAGGCCACCCAGATATGTAAACAACCTACGCTACCCGTCCCGGGCCGACCCGGTACAGATGGGAATGGCCCACTAGTCATTTGTCAGCTGTGAATAACCACAACCACACCAGGCACGGTTACAACCGGAGCTGTAGAAATAAGAAATCACTCCACTAGAACCTGTCTGGTGACACAATGATGATGCAAAGATCTCAAAAGGCAACAAATCATCCCACTTTAAAGACATTTAAGAACAAAGAACCTCAGAACAAGCTGAAGCTCTGCAGGCGTCATTTGGTTGAGGTTCGGGTCAGAGGTCAGGATTCAACAAAAAGAAATAGAGTCTATAGGTTTTGTTGTCATCAGGAATTGCCATCTCCCCTTTCCTCAAAATTATTTTGATGATCACCAAGATAATAGAGGGAGTATTCTGTGGACAGATAACTTTTGGAAGGCATGTGTCTCGTTGCATCTGCTGTAAATCTAACACTGGCCTTCATAAAAACGCCATTCCAACAGTCAGACATGGTGGCGGTAGAGTGGTGGTCTGGGTCACTTACCATAATTGATGGAACCATGAATTGTGCTAGAAAATCCTGAAGAACATTTGACCTTCAACCATTAAAGGTCGTTCATGATAATAGCGATAACAATTCCTCTGTCAGAGACACGGTACAAGTTCTGCAAAATTCTTGACAGCCGGCCCTCCCCCACCCCCCAAAAATATTGGGGTGGGGGAGGCAATTTTCATGCCCCATACTAGACATTTTCCACTTAATTTGCATGCTAAAATTTCAATAATAACATTAGTTGCTGCACAAAATTTCAGAAGCTGAAAGTTTGTGAACACAGAATCTTCATTTTGTGCACAGCTCAGAGTTTAAATCAGACATCTAACTAAAATTAATCAAACAAACCAATAAACTGTCCAAGTATTAAATATTCAAAACTGGTAACTAAAATTACATTTTAGTTGAAAATAATTTTAGAGCATTTATTATGCAGATGTTATTCGGGAATGCAAATATTCATTTCAGTTCAGTTCTGCAAAAGCACCAGGCTGCCCGGGGATGTGCCTGACTTTAAATCAGCTTTACCAAGGAGGCATATTGACCGATACTGATTTATAAAAATGGTAAATGTCAACCCGATATATCCTTCCATCGATATATCGGTCTACCCCTAGTTGTTACCACCAGGGTGGTTGAAGTTACAACCCCTTCTGATTCATGGATAGACCCCCCTGTGCCCTCGCTTCTGGGGTGCATCCAAAACGTTACACTTAGCTGCCTCTGGAAAGGAACTCATCCACTATAATGGCAGCTTATCACCACGTAGTACGTTTTGCGATGCTCTCATGTGCAGTGGAAAGCAGGGGTTAATCGGAAGGTTGCAGGTTCGAGCCCCGCTCAGTCTGTTGCTGTCGTTGTGTCCTTGGGCAAGACACTTAACCCACCTTGCCTGCTGGTGGTGGTCGGAGGGACCGGTGGCGCCAGTGCTCGGCAGACCTCGCGTCTGTCAGTGCGCCCCAGGGCAGCTGTGGCTACATTGTAGCTCATCCCCACCAGTGTGTGAATGTGTGTGTGAATGGGTGAATGACTGATTGTGTTGTAAAGCACCTTGGGGGGTTCCAGGACTCTAGAAGGCGCTATATCAAATACAGGTCATTTACCATTTACCAAGTTAGTTATTAGGTTTAGGAGTGAACTAGTTTTTTTACACAGAACCAGGTTGTTTATGATGTGTTTTTTTCACCTTTAACAAATAAATCAACATTTAAAAAATGTATATTTTGTATTTACTCAGGTTACGTTTGAGAATTGGGAAATTCTCATTGGGCCTAAAAATCCAAAAGAAGATGTCAGTAAGAAGACAAATGCTTTCCCTCCGCATTATAAAACTAATATGTTACAATAGGAATCAAATGTTTGTTAAAACTGCTAAACTGAACTAAATAACCTCTTTAAAAAACAAACAAATAAATAAACAACAGAAGTGCTGAAAAGCTCATCAACATCTTAAAAGAGAGGGAGTTGTCTCCAGTACTCAGCCTTTGACCTTCTGATTCATGGATAACAAAATGAGCTGTAACTGAGCAAACTGAGGCCTCCTGAGACCTGACCGTTTTCCTTTCGCAGTTAAATCTTTATTCCTCCTGGATATTTTGGATGAGTAGGACCTCACAGACATTAAATAAACAAGCAGTGTTTTTGAATATTTAGTTTAGTATAAAATATTTAAAGCAGGTCTGTGCTGAACAGAATAAATTATTATAGTGCAACAATCTGAGGTCCTCTTTAGCAGGGGCGGCTCTAGGGGGGTTCCAATCCAGGGTGGGCCAGTGCCACGCTGTCAGCAAGCTTAGACCCCCCTGTGCCCTCGCTTCTGGGGTGCATCCAAAACGTTACACTTAGCTGCTTCTGGAAAGGAACTCATCCACTAAAACGGCAGCTTATCACTGCGTTACGCGATGCTCTCACGTGCAGTGGAAAGGAGGGGTTAAGATAGATGCCTGACTCTACTACATGTAATGCAGGTTCTATTAAAGCTTGGAAATTGAATTTTTGCCTACTCGTGCCATTTTTTGATATAAAGACCGACCATAACAATGTTGTTCCTGAGATAGATACCAACATATATTTTTACAAATTTGTTTTATTTTGAAACTTATTGAAATGCCGTTGTATCTAAAGCAACTCTAACCGATTTCCTTTAGAGGCCACAGGATCCATCTGTAAGATGGTGAAATACTTTAGCTTGTCACCACAGTGGTAGTGTCTCACCACAGTACGTGTAGATACTGCTGTAGTCCAGGAACCGGACCCGGAGGTTGTGCAGCACAGCAGGCTCGTGGAGAAAACTCAGAGCTGTCAGGTCGTTCTCACCCTCCAGGATGTCAGGGTTCCCCAGCGGTGGGAGATCAGATGGAGAACCCAACGGGTAGTGGACCTCCTAGTAGAATGGGAAGTTTAATGTTTTTATTTTCAAAAGAATAATCTAAAGTGTAAAGTTCTGAATTTCTCACATTTCCATTCTGGATCTGCAGCAGAAGCTGCTTCTGTCCAGGCTTGTAGTCCTGCAGGAGCCGAGCAGAAACCCAGACTGATTCTGGATCAGGGACCCACACACTCGCCCCCTAACAGAACAGTAGATATTTACAGTCAGGCAGCTGGGAAACTCAAAAATAAAAACTGAACCTGAGGATTTGCCTTTTTTTTCCCTTTCTTTAAAACAGTTTAATTGGCGGTGCCCCACCCTGGCAGGATATACTCATCAGCACAAAAAAGCGAATAAACTGTGTTAAAAATTAACACTGGTCACCCTCTCTATGACAACTTGTATGGAATACAGATTATTCACCATTTCATTTATCATTTTACAGAATAAGTTCTTGTTCTCTCCAGGTGTTCTGCAGATTTTTTCATTTAACAGAGATTAATATTTAACGGGAACATTATCACTCAGTCCTGGCGTTACTGTACAACTAAAATTATTTATTTAGTAAAACTGCAAAAGAACTCACATTTGTCTTACCTTTGTGTATAATGCCAGAGTTGCCATGTTTTTTTCTTTAGAGAATGCTGGAGATGATTTAAAACCTCAGACTGGGCTGCATGTTTCTGAGATCAGCCAGCGTCTCCGCTGCACATCCTCACGTCCCGGTGGCATTTGTACTTTGTCCACGCTCACATAAAGACACAGTCAGGTTAACTATTAATCTGCAGTTTAAACTAGGAAAGACTTTTTTTTTCTACCGTTAGGTTCATTAGAATCAGGTTTGATTGTAAATGCATGCATATCACTAGGTTATGAATAAAAAACACACACAATCCACAGACTTTATGACACACTTTAATAATTAACAATCATTTTTTCATGGTTTTAACTGGACGTATCCAACAAGGATATAAATAAAGTTATTCCTTGAACAATAAAGGATCATAAATCACCAGTTTTGTGCATGGGTTTTAAAGGAGGCAGCATGTGTAGAAATAATACATCAAAATAAAAATCAAGAGCATCCGTCAGCACCTAGAAGGGAGAAACTCTAAACTCAACTTCTACATCAATACTGAGCACAAATTTTGTAAAATGATGCCTTGAAATAACAAATACACAATCATATGAGTAAGTCACATTATTTTAAATCCGCTTCCACAAACGTACCGATTCTCCCAGGAAAAAAATATGTAGTAGTGATTGATCGTGGACTCAAAATTCCCGAAAACAATCCCCCCGGATCGGCCCGAAATCACACGACTCTTCCGCTGACGAGAAACATTTGAACTTGACACGACTGTCATCAAAAAAAAAAAAAAAAAGGCTTTTAGTAAAAAAAACCCACATTGAATCACTGAACTTGACATGATGTAAATAAATTTCTTTTATATCTTTTTTTTTGTTCTATCATTGAAGTCTCATCAAAAACTATCTGGGCTCATAAAAACAGTCATGGAGTCCCACTGAGGGGAGGTGATGATGTAACAGCTGTGAAACCGGAGGTGGGGGGGCAGTTTGTCCTAACTTTATGAAAACCTAGAAGAAAAACAGAATGATTAGAAGTTAGCTCTGATGGGGACATTTACAGGTTAATTGCAAGTAGGTGTGAGCCACCTGTGCTATACGCTCTCCATGTCTTCACTGCCGTTGCCCTCCTCCTTCAGAGGCTCCCCATCGCTGCTCGCCTCCTCAACATGGGCCAGCATGTCGGCCATGAGCGCCTCCTCCAGCCTTTTCCTCACACTGTACACCAGCTCCTCCTGTTTCCTGCAAATCAGCGCCACAGGAAGCGATTTTAGTAGGAAGTCATAATTTATTACCTCAGCCTGAGCTGCCGTTTCCTCTTTCTAACTGAAAGATGGTTTTGCTCCAACCAGAGAAGACTCCGTAAACTGTTCCCTAGAGCAGCCGGCTGGGTGGTTAAACTAAGACATGGCATCAGGTTTGATCATGAGAAACTTGTGCCGGTCTGTAAACGCCCACCTGATGTCCTCGTCCGTGACGATGAAGGCTTTGCACAGCGGCTGAGCAGTGTTGAGCCACACTCCGGGATTCTTCTCTACAGCGGCGGAAAGCTGCCCGGTGATGGGAGCGGCGCTGGTGTGGAGAGCGCTGGCGATGGCCGACAAGAGAGTTTTGTCCGTGCAGCCCGGACCAACGCCTGCAGGAGCAGCAAGGCGGTCGTCAGACAAAGGATAAAAGTTGGAAAATCCAGTTAGTGCTCAGCTGTCTTACCTTGCAAACCTTTAGGCAGCTCCATCGTTTTAACCAGCTCCTCTGCGATGTCGTAAGCATTGAGACCACCGAGTTTCTTCTCCCAAAACAGCTGTCGACAGACACCCAGTTAGAGTGTCCGACACTTATTAATGTTACTGAATCCCAAACCCTAACCTGAGCTTGCTCACCTGTCGGGGCTGATCAACAGCCTTCTGAGGGTCTGTCTTCACTTTGTTGTTTGGATGGTTGGTAACCTTGGTAACCGGCTGCTTAAAAATGGAGGCTGTCTGCCTGACTGGAAGTGATGTGTTCAGATCAGGTTTGCCCTTAAAACACAGAGGAGGATAGACCGAATAGACACACACCTTCCCACAAAACACTCGTAGGGTCTGAGCTCACCTTGTTCTGGTTGTTGTTGTCGTATCGTAACCTCTGACGATTCTTGTTCAGCTTGCTCATCAGCATCTTACCCGTGCGAAAATCAAAAGAGCTGAGGTCCATCTGGTTACCGAGGTAACGGGCCAGCTGAGGCTTGCTCCGAAACTTCTTCCCAGATGGACTGGCGAGGCAGGCAGACACATAAAAGAGCACCTCGTTAGTCCAAACGGAGAAACACTGAAGAACCACACAAAACTTAGAACAGATAAAAGCAGGACAACAGAATGGACACACGGAGATGTGAAAACACCAGAACACAACATGCAACAAGTCAGAAGCAGAAAAACATCCACATGATCAATGCCACTGACGTCACAGAACCAGAGTTGGTGAGATGGATGCAAATTCTGCCTAAAACCACCTACAAAGCAGGTCTGTGTAGATCTGAACAGCGTAAACAAACTGGATCACATGTTTGTAGATGAAAACGTTGTAGCTCTACGTCTGCAGCCTGAGGAATGAGCGAAACAAACAGAAAACTGTGGGTGGATTCGTGCTCGCATCTCATGCAGATGTGTCTGATAGCACCACACAAACCCATCAACACCAGTATGATGGCACAGTTAGCCTACCACAGACTATACAACCGACCCGCCTCCCCCCTCTCTTGCCTCTGCTCCTCATCTGGCTCTTCTCCTCTGCTAAATGAAAACAAATCTGGAGTTGCTGATTCAGTTCAGTGGGAAATAAAGTCACATTAGTTTGGTTTAGCCTGATATGAGCAGAGGAGGTGGCCTTGTCCTGCCACAGACACCCCCCTCCCGCTCTCATTTCAAACTTTACCCCCCCCCCCCCACCATTATGCTCCTGTCTGCCTCCATGCACACACTCGCTGAATCGTGTGACTGTGGTGCTTTTCTCGCTCGTTTAGTACCTAAAATAATAGACATCGCTCTTCCCGGCTGACAAACCCGACTTTCTGGTCACTTCTTCCATTTTCCAGCCTTTGGGGAGAGCAGTGCAATCCCACCTTTTCTTCTCCATTTCTCACGCGAGCCGTCAGCAAATCCACTAAAAGTAACTAGAAACAACCAGCTTGGATTTTTAGAAAATATGTCGATGTTGTTTTTGGTAGCTGGCCTATCGCTTTTTACGCTTTTGTTACGACCATTTTAAAACGTGAGTCCCTGTAATGGGATCTTCTAATCAACGACGTCTTTGTAGTGACGCAGATCCCTCCGCCTCGCACGTCAGACACATCACTACCTCTAATCTCGCTGGGGTCGACATCCGCATGGAAAACAGTGCTGCCTGATTATGTAAAGATGTCGTCAGGCAGACGGAAAAAGACAGGAAGTTGAATATTTCAGACTTCAGAATAAAAGTATTTGTCACGAGATACTAAAATGTAAACAAATTAAATGCTTTGTTTCCACACAGTGGCGTAACAACTTTGAGTATGGCCCCGGTGCAAGTGTTGCTTTAACCCCCACAGCTATTGATACTGACTTCCAAGTTTAAACATTTTTATTTTTTCTCGGAAATTTGTCAACATTTTTATTTACATAAATTTTACCTAAGTAATATTTTGCTCACATTTATGAGTTGACTAATTTATTTTAAATCACACCAAATATAAATTCAGGTCTCAGAAGGATAAAGTTGAATTTAACATAATTTAACGTCACCCTGGCCTATGACAGGAAATAATAAAGTTTACCTAGAACTTTTGACACTGCAGCACCATGTTGTTAAAAGTTTTTATTTCATATTTTCATACTTTTTCCGTAATACATTCTTCAATCTGTTCCGTGTCTACCACTAAATATCTCTTTACTGAAGTGGCAAAGGCGTAGCCTAGTGAACTAGACCAAATTCTTGCTTTGCAAAGTTTGTGTCTAGGCATGCTCCATTGGAACCTCCGCAGCTCCTACCAGGACTCTGGCTAGCCAATCACAGCTCTCTAGAGGGGTTTCAAACACATAAAGAGCTGTGATTGGTCCATAATGGTGGGCCAATCATAGTGCTCTATCTGCTTAGTGAACAAATCACAGAGCTTTATCCGCTTTGTGGGCCAATCAGGGCACTCTATATGCCTGGTGGGTGGGATGATGCAACAGAGTGAAACAAGAGTATGTCACATTCATTGTCCAGTGGAATGCGGAGATCATTTGAAAGACAATGGTAGAACCCGCCCCACAACCGAGAACCGTCAATGGAGCGTGGCCAGACTAAAAAATACATTTATTTAGTCTGGCTTGCCAGGCTAGCAAAGACGGTGCTGTTGGCGAATTTACAGGAAGCAGTGTCCTGACCAATAACAAGCTCAGGTTCTCCGTCTCTTTTGACGGATTTTTAAAAATGTGGGCATGTCTCCGTCTTCCTCTGTGAGCACGTCAGAGGGCTCTTGCGTCAACGTATAATGGCGTTGTGTGTCTCCGCCCCAACACAGAAGGAGAAGTATAAATTAGGCTAGCAAGGAGGTCCAGATTTCCCTCTCCCCAGCCTTTGGGCAGCTACTACGGAGGAATCCTAAGGCGTTCCCTGGCTAGCCAAGAGACATAGGCTCTCAGGCGTGTCCTGGGTCTTTCTTTAGAGTAACTAAACCCCAAAATAACTTTTTTTTTTGCTAATTAACTGTATAATTGGGTCTTTACACATGCAATCTTTCTGTGTCTGTGCAATTTTTGACATGTTTGTGTAAACTAGAGTAAATCTAGAATGTAGGTCTAAAAAAGTCTTAGTGCAGCCCCCTGTGGCAGAACAGCAGCTACCACATTTTTAACTTGTGATTGACTGGGACTCCCCCCCCCCCCCCCCCCCCCCCCCCCGATATTTTAAAGCAAGATCCATAATCGGTCACAAGGAGCTGAAAAATACGATTGGGAACGACTCCTTTATTTTGGTCGCCTTTTATTTTGAAACAGGAACTCTTAACTTCCTGTTCTCAGAACACTCGCGAATGGCGCCACAGCAATGCCTTCGAGAACCATACATTTGACAACAGACCATAATCACGAAGCAGCTCTGACAGCATTCGTTGTCGCTATTAAACGCACTGCTGCAGTTAAAAAAGCACATCCACGTGTAAAATAAACAGCCAAAGTTTACGTAAGTTACGTGAATCTGCGTGCCCGTTTCACCGCTACAATGAATATAGTTGTCCTTCATACTCTGCGCCGGCTTTTTTTTTCAATGCACAAAGTAGATCGTATTAAATAAACGCGCTTGCTGGTATCATATACATGTCATGCGTTTAACGAATATGTTTGCACGCTAATAAACGTCAATGTAATGACAACTGAATCCACTTTATTAAACCAAATAATACGTCGAAATAGCGCACAAGTTGACGCAATAACGATTGAAGGAATTGCTACGAACTTATGCGCATATTAGGAAAATGGAACCTGTAAAGTGTGCAAAAACACCGACATCTTGAGCGGAGACCACCGTGCTGCTATCAACAGACATCGAGACGCAGAATGCATTTGCCTAATCGATTACATACTTTGCAGATTTACGCAGGAAATAGCATCAAACACAATATTAACGACAACACAATCCTCGCTGGCTCCTTTCATATGATTTAAATGAGGTACTACTTACTCGTTTTTATCCATCTCGTGAACACTATCTCGCTTTCAGCTCTGGCTGTTAAATCCCTTCTCCCCTCTCCTCTTTCAGTCCCCTCCCCCTTCCAGAAATGAAAGACATCCACGCAAATTTCGCAGTGTGTCTGATAAAAAATAAGCACGATCCCTGCGCGAAACTGGAGCACCCTCTGGCAGCGACAGCCTGACGATGCATCATGTATTTTATTTCTAACATTTTAAATTACAAAATCAAAAGCTGCCTTTGTCAAAGATATGGAAAGTTCCAGTTTTCAAAGTCTACGATGCTTACGTGAAATTAAATGCACTGCATATACAGCTGTTGCGTACACACACACACACACACACACACACACACACACACACACACACACACACACACACACACACACACACACACACACACACACACACACACACACACACACACACGGATTAAATAAATAAAAAAACTCACCTGCACGCAGTTTACATAATTTTAATAGTTGTAAACATTACAAAATAACAAAATAACAGGACACATGAGCATGAATCAATTATTCATTAATATATTACAACACTGAATCAAATGTATATTTTAACAAGGTGAAGTCCAAACTCAGTAGCCGACAGCCAAGTCAAAGTATCCCACTTCGGACTGAGTAAGTACCGACTCATGTGCTGGTCTCCAAGCTCTGGTCCTGTAAACAGACACATGAGTCATTCATTAGCATACACATCTGTTTGAATGTGTCAAAAAGCACATGGTTCAGTAGACTGGTGCCATTAAGCCGACTTCTGACAATTCTAAAGCCAGAGTGGTTTGCACACCAACATGCTGCACCATCATATTTACTTTGGAAGGTAAAAAAAAAAAGTACACACTGATCACTGGTATCCCATGAAACTCGAGGCTTTGCAATAACACAAAATTGTCTGTGACTATCCATGAAGTCTAAAGTTTAAAATGGACATTAAAATATGTTTTACTGTGAGTTTCATGTTTACAAACGAAACAGAATATTGAATTATTTACACACGTTTTCTTCTTGCATCTTTATTAGCCAATCCATCAATATATCGAGCTTCAACTCTGCTGCAATTCCAACCAATCACATTTTGCTTAATAAGAAGCACATGTGTTTAAAGCACATATGACCTCATTAAGGCAGCCACTTCAGAAACGTGGAGCATTTCAGTGAGCTGCCAGGTTTAAACAAGGTGACTGTAAAATTTAAGTCTGGCTGAGAACCCCATGCTTAGGAGTGGATTAATAGGATGTCCTGCACTTGAACGGAGCTTTCACGGGTTGTGTTCAAGAGAAAAAAATCTGTACATCTGTCAGATTCAACACTGACTCACATTTGATTGTTCTCTCTACTCATCCTTCTTGAACTTTCCTCGAATGTATGGTACATAGTCTAGAATTAACCGCCAATCTGTGAAGTGAACAAGCGCCACGCCTCCAACTGTTCCCCACGTAATGAGGTTTGGTAGCCTACATGGAAAAAAACAAAGAGAGTGGTAAAGAAAACAGAAATAAAAGATGCACATCCCACCACAGTATATAGTGCATACATTGATCAGCGTCAACTAGAATTTTCACATTGCAGCAGCAGCAACAATTTATTCCAGTGTGACTTTTGTTAAGTTCACAATGTATGGCTAATGGAAACTGATTTTTAGAAGTTTGTAAGTAAAGGTTTTAAAATGTTCTTTCAAAATTCCAAAACTAGGAACAGAACAACATATTAAACTGTTGATAAAAAGTAAAGGCAAGAAGAAAGAAATCACTGAGAGGAACAGCAATATTGTAAATTTTGCTAAATGTTGACATGTCCAATGCTAATATTAGTTTAAAATCAAATCTCAGCATCCAGACACAATTAAGCATGACAGAAAAATGTGTTTCTTATGTCGTGTAAAAAATGTGAGCATGTTGAAAAGGTGTTATTTGGCCAGAGTTAATATACTTTTACTGCAAGTTGTTGAATATTTATTGATAACATTTTCATGAAAAATTTAATGTGAGAAACTTGAAAAATGTCAGAATCAGTGGTTCACACTACTGCAGCCATAAAGATGCTAAAAAGGAAAACGGTGACCAGAAAAAGCAGTATTACAGCATTTCTAATACATCTACATGTACATGTACTTTACAAATGTTATTTGTCAATGTTTATAAAATGTTACCCAAAGAAAGCCAACAAATTGTAATGGAAATGTCAGATAAAGTATGAGATCTTCAGAAGTTACGATTTTATAATAAGCAGTGACGCTGACGTCATGGGTTTGCAGCGAACCCTAAACCAAACACACTGAAATCCTACTTTTATGGTTGCAAAAGCAGACATGCCACTTGACTAATTTAAACGTTTTTCTACATAAAAAATGTGAATTCTTATTACATATGTTGCATCATGCAACTATGTCTTAACTGTGTTAGTAACCTGAAATATCTCTGACGGTAGCTTCAAAAGATATTTTTAGTCTGAAATAAATAAACAAGCTAAGCTAAACGTCAGCTAACGTCACACACACAGTAGCATTTAACGACTAGAAAGCACCACAGGAGCCCTCAAACTGTCTTCAAAATTCACATTATTGTTTTAACTTACCACGTCCTTAGGATAGAAACATACTTGGGGCCGATAAATTTATTAATGATTTTCTGGACCATTTTTACACGGAGCTCTGAGGAGACGCTTTACAAGGTTCTGAAGGACCCTGCTGCCGAGGCTGCCTCTTTTTGTGCCTGACGTAAAAGAGCGAAATTAAATTAAATACATAACACAAAAATTGCTCTGGCCTATCCCAGGACACCAACTACGGCTCGTGTTCTTTTTAACCCTTATTATTCCTTTGTTTCACTACAAAAAAATGTGGTTTTGAATTTAAGTGAATACTCAAACTTACAACGAAGCCGCAAAGATGCATTAAAACGGTTGTGATGAATAGAAACAAATTAAATTCCCGTGCTTCAATAAACCCTTTTCCACAAAGGTTTCTTTTATTTTTATTTGTAAGTATACAATATTCAAAAGCCAGACATTGGAAAATGTATAATCTGTTATTAAAAATGGCACATTTGCTACATTACTGTTATATACAGGACAGTTCTCAACTATTTATAATAAATTTATGTGAAAGACAGACTGAGTGAGGTTGTGAGAACCCTGTTAGTCCCCAATGACAAGTTCAATAAATGTATTTAATACTAATTTGTCAGACCTCATTTCAATTCAGCAAATAAATCTGAATAAAACATTGAAACACTTTTAAACTACTTCTGTTATCAACAGAAGCCAAACTGTTTTTAAGACTGAAGTCAGTAAATTGTGTTCATGTGACAACAAAATTTAAGCAGGAGCTAATGGGATCTTCGCCAAATAGAAAATAATACTCAGACTTCCTTTAGCAATTTTTGATACACTGATTTTGAACAAATAAAACTACTTTTTGAGGTTACTGTTAATGCCACCAACCAAAGGAAGTGTTTAGATTTGATTTGGAAACTAACTAACTATAATGAAAGTGTCAGCAGCAAAGGACTTGTGCTTGATATTTAAAATGCTAAGATTTCAGGTAATGTGGTGGTGGTGGTGGGGGGGGGGGGGGGGGGGGGGGGGGGGGGAGAGACTGGCACTGAAACCAATGCAACACACAATGAAAACACAAACCTAAGAGCCAAAAGCTAGTTTTTCTTAATACCCTTGTTCTACAAAGGTGGAAAAAAAGTAAATATAGCATTGTGGACCCGTCAATGTAATCCAGTTAAAATTGGAAAATAAAAAACTAAACCAGATCTGCTTAACATTTATTTATTTAACTAGATACACTGAAAGAAAATCTCTTTATACCATTTAAACTTTTTCCTCAGTAATTGGGAAAAAAGCATTAAGGGAGGATGGGGGAATGAAACAAGTACCTCTTTAATCTCCAAGATAAATGAAATGATATGGTTCACAACATAAAACTGTTTAAATGGAAAAAAAAAACAATACAAGTTCAGGCACTGATAAGGCATCACTCTCCCATCATGACATCTTAAGTCTTGAGAATGAAAAGGCCACACTATTGATTTGTATAGGTCTTATTTTTCTTCATCTTTTTCTTTTTTGTAGAAATTAAACACACAAAAAGCTCCACCTCCCACTTGTGATTACATGTTGGTAAAAAGAAACCACTCACAACATGACATGGGAATAACATCACAATAACACTGTTTTTGTTCTCAATATCACCGTACATACAAATCCAGACACCTGCCTCTGAAGCGAGCTGAACATGGAGAGCCACTTGGTCGAGGCCAGATGTTGAGAAAAATAAAATCAAACGAGTAAAAGGAAAACTATTACACTGTGCTAACAAAACCCAGAATGAAAACAACGCTGAAAATGAAGGCAATCCACATTTGTATGGTAGCTACATTCAAAAACCAGTTGCATAATAATTACTGTTGGAGACAAAAAGAAACAAAAAAAAATCCCTTTCAATTTTTAAATTGATAAATCAGTGCCTCGATGCTAAAGTCAGACCGCGGCACCAACTCTGTCCACAAATGCCTACATGGAAAGGAGGCATTCATCTTGGTAGCGGATGTGCCTTACAACTAAAACTGGAATAAAAGGAAATAAACACTTTTTTAAATTCATCATCTGTTGATCTTTTTTTTTTCCTTTTACTGTCATCCCAGTCCGATGTCAAATCAACTTTTGGACATCATTTAAATGTTAAATATCCCCTTATACAGCTCATCTACAATACACTCTAAACTTCAAACTAATATTGCCATTTATGTAAAAAATCTACAATGTATAGACTAACAAAAAATATATATTTTTATATATATTTACTTTTGAAAAATGCAACAGAATAATGCATGAAGTGAATTTACATGTCACACTTCTCTCGGTAAGAAAGGTGAGAGCACACTGACTCGGGAGGAAGGTGAGGGGCTTGCAGATCAATGGGAATGCTCGTTTAGGAATTACACAAAGTGTGCATTAACAACTGTGGAGAAAAATAAAGAAACCTGTTTTTTATTCTTTTGCCTTTTCAGAACATCAATTAGAGGGGAAAGACTTGAGCTGTTAAGTCTGCTGGCACTGTCAGTAAACCATTTTAACAAACAGCACCCAAGTGCTGATTAGATCCGAATGGCTTTAATACAAGACTGTCAGGGAGTGAAATGTGACACAGGTCTAACCTATACAACTGTGCTTTGTCTCATCTGTGTATGCTTTAGTGTGTAAAGCAGTACAAAAAACCTGAATGTACAACAAAGGGCTACAGGAGAAACACTAGAACGCCTGGTCAACAACAAGGAAGAACAGTTTTTGTTTTGTTGACGGATTCTATTTCTTGGATAAATTCATAACTTTCAAGGAAGAAGTCCATGATTCCAAGTCTCCAAACGTCTCGGCAGGTCGAGACCGGGTCTGAGCCACGGGACTGGCTCGAGGTCAAGGAGTTCCCATCTCTCAGGTAAGCTGTATTTGAAATGTCAAAACTTTGGCCGGCCTTTCCGTTTCCATCCACAAGCCTCAGAAAAGCCAGCAAATTTGACGTTTCACCTTCAACTATGCGTTACATAACATATGTAAGACTGTACCATCACGCTGGGAATGACATACATTTAAAATAACTGCTCATACACATAAGCAATCCCTCACAAGTGTTCCTCACATGTACAGCAATTTTGCCTTAATGTCAAATAGAAAACATGTAACAATTAGGCACAAATTCTCGATTCAGTCTGTTTGTTTAGGTCTCCCTTTGTCTTTCCGTCCCTACCCCCCCCCACCAGAACACCTCTTGGCAGTGTGTGCAGTCCCAAAACGTGGCAGGACAAAACTCTGGCGTTCAACCATCACGGAAACAAAAAGAAAGAGACATTTTACATGTATATATAAAAAAAAAAAAAAAACAAGAAAAAAAAAGTTCTTCACATTTGAGTTTGTAGTCATGGCTGGGAGTGCGAAAAACCACACTGTGTCAGTTTTGGCAGTATGCATGTGAGTACAAGTGTGTGAATCTTGAAAACTTGAATGGACGATACAAAGAGATGTCCCCACGCATGCACGCACACTCAAACAGACGCGCACGCACACACACACACACACTGAGATTATTGGGTGGAAGAAATCTGTTAAGGCCACATCCTCTGAAAGCCAGAAAACACCACCACACCTGTAAAAAAGCCACAAAGACACACATTAGAAGGACACGCTTCAGCGTAACATGAGCTGCGCTACGTCAGGACCTGAGGGCCTACCTGGTGTTACATGTGGCCAACTGGATTGTGGCCGTCTCCTCCCATGCTAGGGTGGCCTCCTGGGAGCTGCATGGGTGCCTCTCCCACCACCCCTGAAACCTTCTCCTCCTCACGCCGTTTTAAACACGCCGCTTTAGGATTTAGGTTGCGCTCTGACAAAAGAAGAGCAGCATTAAAACATGTTGGAGACATAAAACAGTGTTTCAGTTAAACTGTCAGATTCACCTCGGACTTGTTGTTCTAGATTGAGGATGACATTGACCGCTTGGTGAAGGATGAGAAGTTTGGTCTGAGGTTTGTCGTGGCTGAGGTGCAGCTGGCACATCCTACCGAGCTCCTTGAACGCCTCGTTGATGTCCCGTACTCTGAGACGCTCCCGGGCGTTGTTTGCCACTCGCCGTTCCCTTTCACGCTCCATCTTCACCTCAGGGGGAACATCCTCATCATCCTCATTGTCCTGACTGGTGACAAACACAAATTATATGATGGAGTTAAAGTAGCAGTAAAAGCAGCTAGTGCTCAGCTGACATGCGTACAAGAACACACACTTTGTAACCAATTCTACTGGATGTCAGGTCAGACGGTATGAGAACAGTGATTTTTGGGATTCTGTGTAAATATTATAAACAGTTACCATCAAATTTGGAGATACTTTAACCCAGCCTTCCCACTGGGCGTGTAAGCAGCAAGCAACAGTCGTGTTTTACCCGAGAGCTCCCTTCCAACCAGGAGCGTTTCAGACACAAAACGGCAGCAAAAATCATTCCACGCAGCGGGTATCATAAGGCAACTAAATGATAGGTGAACTAACGCATGATTTCAGAAGTTCAAAGTATAACAACCAAGGAGATACAGAGGTTTGACAAGAAGTGACATATTTTAATAGTTAATAGGGATGTGTATTGGTGAAATTCTGGCGATACAATACGTATTACGATACAGGGGAGACGATACAATATATCACGATATATTGCAATACATTCAGTCAGACGATATTGGCGATTTTTTAGACTAAATTTATTATAGGAAAATTCAATAAACAGTCCAAACTGATGCTTAACATGTTTAACCATAACAGAGGGATTTACATTTCAATGGTAGAAACAAACCCATTACACACTGCTGCTAACTAGTGGTCAGCGTTTGAATTGCACCTCAAGAAAAGAAAATACACAAATGTTTCCATATAAATTCTTCCAAAAATTAGATACACGACTTTTGAATATTGATAAATTTTTGCAAGAAAAAATATCACGATATATTGCAATATCGATATTTTCGATACACAGCTTTTGAATGTCGATATAATATCGCTGGGGAAAATATCACGATATATTGCCATGATCGGCATTTTCTTACATCCCTAATAGTTAAGCAACTGGGAACCTGTACACGACTTTCATTAAAGCGTTTTACACTACTTTGCTGTTTGACTTCCTGTCTGGCCCTATCCAAACTGCAGGGTTTGATGCATTTTGGGAGCGCAAGACGTAAAAAAAAAAAAAAGACTTGAAGCATAACCAATGCATCCCTACTCTTCTGGGACACGTCCAAAACTAACGTTCCATGGAAATGTACCCATCCACTGTAACAGCAGCTGATTGCGGAGTCCTACATTTCGAGGGTGATGTGTGATGCTTACATGTCCGGTGGAAAGGCCCAGTTAGTTTGACATGACTAATGAGAGCTCAGACTAGCCGTTAGCTCATCAGTCTTTCCAAGTTTCTTTCTGTTCAGACAGAAATGCAAGAATACCATAACTAAGGTAGTACTTATTCACAACTTTTAAACCAGACCACACTTAAAAAATGGTCAAAAGTGACCCCAAAGTGACAACATTCAGTCTTCCGACGCCATTTTATTATTGTTCATTTTTTATTCACATGCAGCTATGACACCAACTATAAAAAGAGCTTCAGATTTCCTTCTAACATTACATAAGTGCAAAACTATAATTATTCTCCTTAACATAAAACATCCAAACGTATTATTTTAGTGCTTGCCCTTCATGTGTGATTTATAGGAAAAACAGCAGAGAAACAGCCAAGAACCTTTGTTCTTTATGACTGAACATTGTTTTGAATGGTGGGAAAAATCCGATTTAACCATTTCAAACAACAAACATTGTTTTTTTAATTCCTCCTGAGAAAGAGATTTTTAAACGGAATAACAATGGCTTAGTTTTAAATTCAACAAGTTTCTTTACATCAGTATTCTTTGTTTGACAGACAACAAAAAGCCTCACAATATAAGGTAGCCCAGGAAGTCACGCACCATAACATGCAGCAGTTAGCTAACAGAGCTAACAGTGCATACTTGTCGCCTCAAGAGAGAAAATATCTAATTTGGATGCATTTTTAAAAGGAACGAGAAAGGAAGCGTAATAGGCATGCTCAGACGTGTCTGTTTCAGGAAGTCAGCTGGAGGATAAAGTAGCTTCAGACGACAAGATTAGAACTTAGAAGTCTAATTTTTATGTTCAGCCCAAGCCCCCATAATACTGGTATGAAAATGAAGCCAACATGGAAATGACAAAAATTGCAGTTCCACCCTCATCCACTAGGGGCTGGTGTCAGAAGCGAGCAAATCCTCATTGACTCCCATGTTAAAAATACCAATTTCACAGCAGAAATAAACATGTTTACAGCCTGGTAAAACATGTTTTAGGTTTAATAGATCTAGTTTACACTCATGACAACTCTGAGGGGGGTGAATTTCTTGTCACTCTTCTGTTTAAGTGTATTAAAAGCCTAAAATTCTGAATAATTAATGAGCATCAGACCCACGTGACCACAGAGCTAGCTCCGGGGAAAAGCCTCAGTCTGAAAACTGTTCCGCCATTTTCAGTCTCTCAACTTAGACCATTAGTTGTGCCCTTTGTGCGTTCCTTTTTTTGGATACTATTTGTGCAATTGTTGGACAAAATGACTTGCTGTGGTATTAATTGCACTAATAGAGCGTCCAAGAAGTCTCCACTTCATTTTTTTGGTAAGTAAAATTATATTTATGTATTTTACGTCACTGCCGCTCTTGCACTAGCTGAGCTTAGATTTTAACATGTACTGTTTACCCATTAAATTTAAATGTAATAGGGAAATACCCAGCGCATTTAACATGACGCTGCATTTTTGAAAATGGGTTGAAATATGACATGTTGGTGGAGCTGGGTTCCGACCATCAGTATGGTCCCCTCCCCTGAGCGGCAGCTCGGTGCATCTCTGACTGCAGCGGCGCCTGTCTGCTGCCGGCTCGTGGAGCTCTCGGGAGACCTCCCGGTTTTACCCAGCGGTCAGCCCGGCGTATCTCTGACTCAGAAGCTCCGGTGTTCTGCAGTTAACTCCGGTTGTAGCTAGGTAGCTACCTCCGTTAGCTTAGCTCTCACCTCCGCGTTAGCTTTGGGTTAGCTTGTAGCTACATCGCTTCAGTTCGACGGGTGTCGTCATTTGATCCCAGCCTTACAGCCCCACCCTCAGCACCACCTCTTTTCCCTTTTTTGGAATTGTCTGGGCTTGACGGAACCTGTGACACGGTCAAAATGGCGGCGGTGGGAACCTCCCATTTTGGCACAAGAACTTATAATTGGAGTCTATGGACACATATTGTCCAGCATGTATGTCGATGGTTCAGCCTGCATAAAAAACTCAAGAGTGACTGATTATCATCAGATACAAAATGGTTTTTCAGTGTTCCACACCTTTAATAATCAGAACTTTAATAAACTAAAAATCTGACTAAAGTCACATTTTTATCAGAATATATTTTAATCTAATAAAACCAAGTGAAACAACGCTACACTAGGTGTGTTTCTACTCCTGGAAATTCAGGGTAAATTTACAGGAACTTCCCGAAACGCGCATGTCTACACTTCACTGGGTTTTCTGGCTCATTTCAGGAACTGTCATAGTACCTGATCAGGGGTAGGGATTCGAAATGGCCCGGAGTAGCCAAGCTGAACTCTTGCTTAACTCGTGCTGACTGGTTGTAATACAGTAGGAAATGACTTCAGCAGTCTCATGAAGCAGAAAATTACAAGCAACCCTTCTAAAATCTCCGTTACTAAACTCCCAACACTGAAAAAGACGGCAAAATCCTCTCACGACACAATTCATGGGGCTTTGATTTCTTACAGAGTGCTGTAAAAAACAGCTTCTTTTGGTCATTGAATGCCACATTTTATATCATGCAGCTGCTCTCGTCCTCCGAATGGACTGAATATACGTTGACAGGATAAAACATTTATTGTGGAAGCTTTTTGGCGCTGCTCAGTGACATCACTCACTGCCAAAGCAGTAGCGATATGCTGACGAAAGAGCTGAACTTGAAGACACAGCATCTGAGTTTTTCCCCATCCCAGAATTTATTCTAAATTTCTGACAATGGAATCACGCCTGTTGTGTTAAAATGGGATCAGTCAGAAGCATCCAGCGTGATGAAGCCTCGGTTGCAATTGAGACTGTTATTAAATGTATTTTGGGCTCAAATGTTGATAACAGCAAAGATCAAATAAAAAAATATAAAATAAAAAAAGAATCAAAAGTTGGAGTGAACTTCTTTCTTTGGTAAAAATTGTGATCTGATCAGAAGATAAAGGTTTTTTTTAAATAGCACCTCTCAAGATAAAAATAACAAGGCACTTCACAAGAACAATAAAAATTATTAAAAAGATAAAAACTGAGAGAAATAAAGAAAAATTAAGGTAAAAAAAAAGGAAAATGAAAAAAGGTCAACACAGGAGCCCGATAAATGCAGAATGAACAGAAACAGCAGCATGAAACAAAGCTATTGAGGAAGAACAGAAGGTCACACCAAAGTCAGCCTGAACAGGTGAGTTTTCCGCCGGCTTTCATAGGAGACCACTGAGTCCACTGATCTCAAGCTCAGATCACTGGACCTCAGGGACCTGCTGGGGGTATAGGGACTCAGAAGATCACCAGTGAAAGATAAATAATGTAAGTTTTTCCTAATTTTTGGACCCAAATTGCTGAAATAAAATCTCCAAAGGGTGCTAAACGCACGTGTGACTGCTCTAACAGACACATTATTGGAAGGCTGTGCATGTCTGAAATAGGCTTATTGTAGGAAATGATGGAGTCACTGGTTAGTTGATCACTTTCAGCAGCTTTCTGTGATGTTTTTCAGTGATGTTCCAAGCCCACTGTCACTGCGTTTTCAGCACTTCTTCTAAACACGTTATTATTGATAAAAAAACATGCTTTTCATCTTCAAGCAGCGACTTTTCTTCAAATTCTGATCGTCAAAACCCCACAAAGCAGCGGAGGTTAATTCTCTGTTGGAGAAACTTACTCATCTTTCTCATCTGAAAGCCCAGGGAGCATCTGGAGGGTCAGCGCCTCCTTTCTGAAAACATGAAGGGAGGGAGGGGGGTTTGATATTGTTAAAAACGTCTAACATATCCTAAACGATCAGTGGGAGAAAATAGACAAAAACAGACTCCTTTGATGAAACGCACCATCTTTTAAAAGTGCCAAATAGTCGACATCTGGTGCATCAAAACCATTTATTTTTACTTCATTCTTGCTGCTAAAACAAGCCCTCCTTTAGTTGGACAACATCTGGGACCACATTTTCAGTGAGAGACAAAGGATAAAGTAAGGGGGCTACCTTGTTCGACTGCGTGCTGCTTTTGAGTCCTTCTTTTCCTCCTCCGACTTGTCCGTAACAGAAGAGTTTTCATCGTCCTCTTTGTCCTCTCTTTTGATGTCCGAGCTGCTGGAGGAGTGTGCTGACCGGGCCAAACCACCAGGAAGACCTAGGGAGGGACAAACAAGACATCATTTAAACCCCAAGACTTAAAAAACTCGTAGAAAGAGCTGTGATGAGTCAAAGTGTAAAAAAAAAAAGACCAGCTCATAAGAAATCAGTGCACATGTGGAGGATATCTGCTTTAGTATGTGATACATATTAGAGGCTGAAAGCCTCAAAAAAACCTGTCCAACGTACTGGAGAAGCCTTCTGGCTGTCCGACTGACGGCGTGGGCCCGGTAGCGTGATGACCGTGAAGGAGAGTGCTGCTGGGAGGAAGGCCTGTGGGTTCCTCGTGTTTCCCTCCCTGATGAGGATGATGATAAACATGGATGTAAACAAATACTGCAGGGAAAAACACTGTACCCACCAGAACAGATCTAATGTATGGAAACCACGCAGGGTTCTTGGTAAGATTCATGTCAGACTGGTTTAGCTCAGGTCAGTTGATTCAGTTACAGCCTAGTGACACATTTGGCCAGCAGATGGCAACAATAATGGTGTTAAGCTTGCTCATTTCCTCTTTACATAGTCCTATACAGTAATCCCTCGTTTATCGCGGTAGATGCGTTCCAGACCTGGCCGCGATAGGTGAAAATCCGCGAAGTAGGGACACCATATTTACAGTACAGTGTCAGAACCCAAGTTCCCAGACCAGCGTCTTCCAGCTAGCCGGCCTCCACTGTGGACCACAACTCCCAGCATGCCCCTCGCGGGGATTCCCTCCACGTCGCATCTACGTCACAAACCGCGGCTATAAACAGAAGTCGCCGCCTTTCCAGCTCACCACTCAGTCATCGTTTCTTCAGATTCATGATCAGAGTTTCCAACATACCGATCCATCCCATGAACTATCAGCTCATAGTAAGTTATCTTACTTACTTCTGGAAAGCCCGGCATTTCCGTGTCACTTCGTTGACGCTCGAACGCTCGGGGGTTTCCTAGATTAATCGTGAGCCGGCGTTTCACCGACGCACTCACTTCCGTGTCTGTGAAACCACGCGCTCCCTACAAGCTCAACTCCCGAATCCAGCCGACCAGTCTGACATACAGTACTATATTGAATTATCGTATGATCACATTCTCTTTTTGTGGGTAAAACTCAAGAAAAAAAATTGTTTTACTTGTTTTTTTTAATAGTTTTATTACAAAAAGTGCATTTTATGATGAAATTGATGGAAAAAACAGGAATTTCTTGATATTTTGCATAGAAAAATGCCGCGAATCGGCGAATTTCCCTTGAATAAGGCTCCAAAAAAAATCTGCGAAGTCGTGAATCCGCGATTAACGAACCGCGAAGTAGCGAAGGATCACTGTATAACATTTGAAACCCAAAGCTAAAGGCTATTTGAAACAACATGACAATACAAAATTGCAGTAAAAAATTTCTAAATAGTCTCAAATGTTACTTCAGGAGTTTATTGAATCACTAATACAAGATTTATTTGAACCTTTGTGCTGACGGTTTCCTGAAAAACGACTGACCTGCTGAACATCTTCTATAAACACAAAACTCTTTGTAGAAAAGTGGGTGTGATCACTTGTTTGCTCTGCATCAACATGTAAACATGAGCAGAGAGAAGGGGGCTCACCATGGCAGGGTGTCTATTGCTGAGAGCAAGGCTGGCATTGGGGAAAGCAGGAGAGAGGCCTCCAAGGCTGTTGTGCACAGAGGTCAGCAGGCCGTGCATGTCGGGGTGAGCTCCCTCTAAGGCAGGCGCCTGGCCCACAGCATGGCTACGCAGCACGTGGATGGCCTCCTCCAAGCGGTCCTCCATTTTATTCTGCTAAAAATAATAAAAATACAGAAAATCAGCTGCTTTACCGTCACAAGAAATGTGCTGAAGTGTCAATGTTCAGCGATTAAATCCATGAAACGGTCTACTTTTACTGTAAGTTCAAGCTTTCCATAGTCTTAGATGTAGCAGATGAATGTCTAAAGTAGGAAAAGACCCATGTATAAATATATATCTTTGGTAGAGCTGATTTAAAGTCGGGCACATCTGTGGGCACCAGCTACTGCTATTGAATTTTATTTTAATAAATAATTACCTTCCTGTTTTTTATATTTAATATTTGGTCCTAGGGTTGCTCAACTAATCAAATTTTACTCTCAATTACGATGTGGGTTTTGAATGATTACAAAAACATGTTTATCTGCTCCTCATTTGCAGTTTATTCCCACACGACCCAGAGTTACACATCCAACTCAGCAACTCTGTCGCTATTTTTAACAACTTTTCAGACCCCATCTTTCCTTTGTAGCCCCCTAAAAACACGTAGCGAACAACCAAGCAACATTTCTGAGGACCCGTAGCTACCTTCTGTACAACTTTCACGTCAACGTTCCTTGCAGGTTAGTAAAATACACAGCCTGCACTCCCGACCGTCCTTCCGGACATTATGAAAGAGAATGATCTGTGCATGTGCTCCATGATCACGTTACACTGACTGACCTATTGTAAACTAGGGCTGCACGATATTAGGAAAACCTGCGCTATTCGATAACAGTACTTAATATTGTGATATCGATATTACTCGCGATAAATGAACAAATACTAAAGTGTGCAGTGTTGATGTCGTCTGGTGTGTGACGTCTGCTCTGGGCTCAAAGCAAACAAAAACTAATGCATGAATTCCATTACAACATAACAAAAATATGCAGCTGCACCTGCTACTGTATTAGCAGCAAAACAACAAACTGCATGCATGCAGTTTCTCAGTGACTTTAAAACATCACCTCCACCATAAAACTACAGAAAAACATCCCTTACAAGGGTTTTTAGAATAAATAAAAAATCAGAAATAAGTTTAAATGTTAAATAATAGTTAACATCACTTAAATGCAACAGCAAATTCTCTCATTGCTACTGAGCATTTTCTCCACTTATGTGGTTTTGATATAAGGCTGTTGCTGCAATTGGGAAGTGAACTGTGCTGGGCCAAACTAGGAGAATATTAAGATTTTTTTGAGGGAAAGAGAAAAACAATTGTCTACCTTTCAGAAGAGGAACTGGCAAAAAAAAACTACATGGAAAATATGTGAAAACGTTTGTTTTTAACCCCAAATTGAACAAGTTTACCTAGATCTTAAAAAGCAGCTCAGATGATGAAACTGCAACTATGATTCTGATAACAAGCTAACAAATTGAACTAAGATAACCGGCTAGCAGAGCTTCTGACTGACAGTTTATGTGCAGCAGCAAAGCAACTATCCTGATTAACAAGGTTATAAAAGCTCATAAATGAAAAATCACTTTGATGTGTGGGGGAACTTTTCCAGGCCCTCTTTAGCAGGGTGGGACTGGGAGGAGAGTGCTGTAGCCTTTAGCTGGAAGCTAACCGGAGCCTGGGGCTAACACTAGCGACATGAAGGTGGGTTGGTTCACCGGCACGTGTCGGAGTCAGCCCGGTAAAAATTATTAACGACACCGAGCAGAAACACGTTCACGTTTGAAAGCAGCGCTGATTCCAGAAACCTCAGCACAAAGTGCGTTCGCTGCTCTGAGCCAGAATGACGAACAAGGGAACAGCGCCGCAAACTCTGTTCGGGTGTTGCTTTCCAAAAGGGTCTATGTAGGGGGCGGGCGTATTAAGTGAACGGACTCATCTGATTGGCCGCATGTCAGAAGGTCTACATTTGATTGGTCAAATAATACTTCAGCGTAAAAAACAGAGCTGGTTTACAAAAAGCTGATGTATGACACGGATGGAAATGTTTGAACCAAACATTTATCGCTGTTTTTGCCGTGTTTTGCGATGGGCCTATCGCACGTCCTGTTATCGCGATGACGATAATTTTTTGATATATTGTGCAGCCCTATTGTAAACCCTTTTCAGTAAAGTGCACCAGCTATAAAGTGGTTTTACAAGCTAAATTCAAAACACAGCAAGTCATATCTGAAGTGATTTATATTTAATCGGGGCTGCTAACTCTCACGTGATAACCGTGAGACACGCATTGACAGCCTTCATATGCTCTGAGCGACACGTTGCGTCATGCTGCTGTACACACTCCCCTTCAGCATCGCTGGACTGGTGTAAATCATTATTATTTAGCAGGTTGTGGAAGTTCACTACAAAATAGACATTTATGTTTCTATTCTTGCACAAATTAGATGTGTACCGGCAGGGTCCGAAATTAACACTCACCACTCGCCAAATGCGAGTAAATTGCTCCATTTGGCGAGTAAATGTTTGCACCAAATTAGTTATGTTTATCAGTCATCTTTCACGGATTTCTGATACTCCTCCCGCCTGCATGCAACTTACACAAACGTACGCGAAACGTGAACGCCGCATCCAACGTCATTTCCACCTATCCCATTCAATCAGTTTATCAAGTTAGCAGTTAGCTTTGTGTTAAAACTAGCGGTGAAATGTGGCGGTTTTTAACTGGAGTCAGCCAGCCTTCCAAATGAAAACTCGTCGAACTGGAAGAAAAACCACCAGGACCAGTGGCAAACATAAGATTTTGTGAAAAGTGGCGAACTGGAGACGGCGGAGTCGTGAGACAATGGCTACATTATGATGGCCACGTAGCGTTGCTGCCTTTCACAGACAACTGGCCCTCGGCATTCTTCAAATATCCAAAAAATGGCCGTACTTCCGACTTTGTCTTCTTTGAGGGATAATAAATGTCCCAAGTGCTGCCGTCTCCTCCTGCCATTATTTCAGCTTTAGCTTAAAGAAAGTTTTGGTTGTAAACAACAAAGTGCGCATGTGCCGCCGGCAACTTCTAGCAGATGATACGGTGGCTGGTAAGGGTCACCGCGCCTACGCCGCAGCCACGGTAATCCACCGAGATAATATATATATATATATTTATTTTAAACAAGACTGTTATTATTTATTGTCAACTTTTTAACCGGGGTTTACTGCTACACCGGTTACCATGACAACCCTAGCCCTGACACACTTTCAGATACTCTCATGGTGCAGCTGTGTTCTCCAGAGATCAAGGACTATGACCCAAATGAGGCTGTAATGCTTTGGCACAAAGACGGTGTCAGAAGCAGGAGGCCAGACTTCATGGACAGAGAAAACAAGGAGTCTGACTAGACTTCAATGAAAGAGTTCATAAAAACATCTCTAAAAATAAATAAATAAATAGTAAAAATGACAAAAGAGTTGTTTTCCTTATTAATTGATGTTTTAATTATTTTGTCACTCTGTTTGGAATCAACATAATATAGAATTACATGCTTTAGGTAGATCTAAATCATTTATAATTTTGGCTGGTAAAAAATATGCTTGGCCGGTAGATTTTCATCATCTACCGGCCAACTTGGCCGGTGAGTAAAAAATGTAATTTCGGACCCTGTGTACCGGGAAGTTAAACTTTAGCCTAAACCCTTTAGGTCAAACTATGAGCAAGTGTACCGACTCTTTTACACGAGGAATCGTGTTTGTGATCATCTCGTTTCTTTTTTTTTCTTCCCTCCGATTATGCCCCGTGCAATTTTATGACTGAATAAATAAATAAATAAATATTATCGAGCTCTCAGTTTCAATCAAAACAATTCTGATCATCACTTTTGCCATAATTAAGAGGCCCTACTTGGTCCGTTTATTAATGTTTTGATCAAATTTGGTTAAACATTTGATTTCATCATCGAGCACAAAATAAAGATTAAACATCTGGTTAAATGCAGGGTTCAAAAATTGATTCAGGTTCTTTTTAAGTGACATTTTAGCATGCAAATAAGGCGAAAAACGTCCAGATATCGACTGTGAGCACATACCGGCAATAGAAAACACCACAGATAGGTAGATTTCTAATCTGAACTCACCAATGTGTGTGGCTGCCCTTCATAGCTGGGCGTGGTCGGTCTTTGCCACTGAGACGGAGCTCCTGCAAAAACATTAGACTGTAGTAATCTCTGATCCTCAAACATACACCAGATGGAGCCGCAGAGACATTTTAACAGGAAAGGTTTTAACTGATGCGTTTCAGTAAATAGTTCCTCCTTCACACTTACTAAAGACCACCAACACTAGAGCGATGACTACATGATATGATGACTGTACCTGCAATGGTCTGGGGAGATCCAGGGGTGGAAGGAGCCGAGGAGAAGTTATTACTGTTGTGGTCCGACGGGTAAATCTGGATCAAAACATTTTAAAAGGATGTAAAAACAAACATTTTAATACAGAATCAACAGGTCGTGAACTTTCACTGTCAGGTATTAAAATAGTGGATTGCTAATGAAAACTAAATCATTCTAAATGGTTTATAAACACAACTCTTCACAAATAATCTGCAGCAGATTTCTGTTAAAAAAAAGAACCTTTCTTTAGACGATATTAACAAGTAAAGCTCAAATTATATAAAGTTTTCAAACTTATTTTATTCCACAAATGTGCTATTGTGAAACATATATACAAGTACATTTTACTTGTAAGCGCATTTTAGGACTCTCCAGGTCACGTTAACAAAGGTTACATAGCACAACATCATAAAAATCGCAGGTAAAACAATTTACAACAATGAAACACAGATTATCCAGGACCACTGGATGAACCAAGAAATAAAATAGATAAAATATTAGGCAATAGTCCAACGCTTTGCCCAGGTGCTTTCGGTAAATTCTGCAAATTTGATCACGTTAAGCACCAATGACTATTTGTCCTGGCCAGTAGGTGCGTTTAACCAGTCACACAGAATATGCTTGCCTGAATAAAAGTGTTTTGCTCAAAGATTTAAAATGTTGAACAGAGGTCGCTAAACAAATTGCTGGAGGAAGTTTATTTCAGCATTTATTTATTCCTGGTTTATGGTTTATTTGCAGCGTTTTGTACCAGTTGGAAGTCTGAAAAAGTTTCTGTGGAAGACCTGCAAGTAGTGCATTGCAGTAGTCAGCGCGGGAGGTAACCATCGCATTAACAAGGGTCTTCGTATCACTCGTAGGAGATATACGAACCCGACAGGTTTTCCGAAGATGAAAATAAGCACAGCGGATTACATTGTTTGTTTGTATATATACATATATATATATATATATATATATATATATATATATATATATATATATATATACATATATATATATATATATATATATATGTATATATATATAAAAGCACTTGAAAATGACTCACAGAGGCGAGAGCCTTCCCGATCTCGTCTCCCGAACTTCCTGCCGTGGTGCTTCGGCTGGCTGCAGAGACAAAATGAAGTAAAGCGAGTCATAAAACCCCAAAAACTACGACAACAACAGGTGGACGGTCTGTAGAAGCTCCTCGAAGACGCTTCTGTGCTATGTTTAGGTACAAGGGCTCATACTCATGATGCTCTCTCCATTGATGGTGGGTGTGTGGTTGTAGGTGGTGGGGGCCGAGTGGAAGCCGTTGACCTCGCTGCCATGCAGAGGGTAGTTCTGTAGGGGCAGAGACGGCATGTGAGGAAGTGATAAAAGAACATTTACATGACGAGAAATGTGCTTAGGTCAAACATGGATATTCGAGAGATTCCAACGGTCCTAAAGGAATAAGTGGCAGGTATGAGACAGTGCTTTAGCTTGCTGCGTAGTAATACGTTGGGTGTTTGTGAAGGTAAATGATCACAAAGTCAAAAATGAAGTTCCCACCCACCATTCTGTCCTGTGGGTTGATTGCGGGGAAGGAGCCAGGCTGTCCGATGTGAGGGGAATTTCCCAGCATGCCCGAATAACCAGAGGATGACCAGGGATCTTCTGAGGGTTTAAAACAAGGAAATTAATTCATCAAAAATAAGGAAAAATATTTTATTTTTTTAATGGCAAAAAAAAAAAAAAAAAAAGTAAATTATGAACTTTTCATAAAAGTCTACCTTGCACATAGAAAGAGCCTGGATAGACGGCCCCGGGCTTCGCACCAGGATATCCTCCGTTATCTCTGACATACTCATCACCAGATGTGGAAGCATATACCTGAAAATACACACACACACACACACACACAGGTTATCTACAGTTTTAGGTTGGGTCCTACATCAGAAAGAGGAGGGAAAAACATAAAATACTGCTGTAAAGGAACGAAAAAGTCAATGAGATTACAAGATTACTAACGGTGGTGGAGTCTGGCGCTGAAGGACACCTAAAAGGCTCTCATAGGATCCTCTGAACTGTGATATTCGATCATTTGTGTTAATAAAAGCTGAATCAGCACAGCGCTAAACAACGTGGAACATCTGACACATTTTTAAACGATTTATTCACCCTGGACATACATGGAATTACACTAGCTTCAAGCTGCCACAAGATGGCAGGAGGGAGTCTGCTGCTGGAGGAGGAGGAGGAAGGCCGGCTCCTCGCCTGGAGCAGAGAAGGCAGTGGCCATGGCATGCTGGGCACAGCGACGGCTCCAGTCCCAGAGCACAGTGAGTATTTCCTCTCACTCCTAGGACCCCGGTGACATTGCATTGCCTGGCCTGCAGCCCCTCCCAATAACACGCTCACACACATACCGTGCATTTAGCAAACCAACACACCCAACGATGCACAATCCAACACCAATGCTCGCAAACTGGCAATGTGACATTTGATATTGCAGCAGAAAATGACAGCTATAAAATAAACAGCTTTGTTCAAACTGGACACACACACACACACACACACACACACACACACAGATTTGTTTCATAAATATTAGTCACACAACTGCTCATGAGACAGAAAATGGACATGAGAAGCCCTCTGCTTCTAGACACCATGGTGTGCCACTTACTGCTCCTCTTCCTCCCTTCATCGGTGCTACATGTTAGAGGAAGAGGGAGAGAATGAAGGCTATGCAGCAAAGAATGCTAATCCAGAAAAGGGATTTTTTCTGTAATTTGATTTAACAAGGAGAAGTGGAAAGGGAATGGAGAGATGCACTTCTAATTACAGAGCCATCTGCCTGTTCCTGGACCGCATCCAACTCCACAGGCAGCTGGGCTGAGGAGAGGCAGTGAGGAGAGGGAGGGAGGGAGAGAGGGAGGGTGGGAGAGATATGGGGGCTGGGATCCAGTCAGGAGACGGAAAAGAGAGGACGAGGTGGTAGTGGGTGGCAAAGGGGCAAGGAGGAGGATGGGGGGGGGGGTGCTAATGATATATGAAATGGGTAGAGAGATAAGGGGTGTTCAGGGGGACAAGGGAAGGTAATCTAAATGACTTAAACAAAGCTTGATATGACCAAGGGGGTGTGAAGAAAACGAGGGGGGATTTAAAATGATCACGGTTAATTCAGGGGAAAACATGATGGAGATGGCTTCATTTAACAATAAGCTTTGAGTTGTTCTTTCACTGGGAACAATGTGGCATGGATCCTGCTGCTCTAGATGGGAAACACAGAAGCACACAATGACTGGAGCCGCTGCATAATTGTACTTGCTGGAAGAAAAGAGATTTACAGGGTAAAATCCTTAACTAACAGGGGTTTAATGTAATTCAGGTTATGACCATGCAAAAGTCCCTACACTAGAAAAAAACAAAGAGGGCTGCTGCTACAGAGGGGTGGGGTGGGGGTAGATGAAAATTAACATCAAACTAACCTCTAAGCACTTATATTCAACCACAAGGGCTTGTGGGTATTCTATGGAACAACTAGGGGGCAGAAGAGAGGTGTGTGCATGGTTTTTAGTTTCCAGCACATACAGGAAGGGTGTGTGTGTTCATACACAGGTATCGATTGGAAATTTAATTCATGCAGCTTGAGGAGAAATGTTGGAGCAACATAAATTGACAAGTTGGTAGTTAAAAAAATGGGAGGAGTGTGGGAGGGAGGAAGGACCACAGGATCATCATCATCAGTCATTAATCTGGGCTCAGACACGAGGCTAAGAGGCCTCGCGAGCACTGCGCCTCACAACTGGGTCACTCGAAGGGGGGAGGCCCACCCAGGCCATCATGTGGTGAAGTGTAGGCCCTGGGTGTGTGTGTGTGTATGTGTGGGTGGGGGGTTAAACACACACACAGACATGTCATCATTCGCACTAAAACCACACAGCAATCGTGCAGAAAAAATTCTGAGGTTCAGACGCCCCCCCCCCCCTCCCTTAACCAGACAGTGTTCACACTCAACGTGATGTAGTCGCTACGTTAGTGTGTCGACACACACAAGCTTCAGCAGCCACTTTTAGACAACAACACCTACAGGTAGAGGAGCGAGTCGCCCAAGTTCAGCTCAGATCTGCCCGCAAACTGATTATCAACCAGATACACGACTCATAAGTGAGTCGGCACAAAAGAGCTATTATTTATTGACCGTTTCCAACGTATGTATCTAGTTTTTTTCCTATAGTACTTTATTCTGTCAAGACCAGAGAAACCTGAGTAAAAGATGATAAAGTCCTGAGGCAAAAGCACCAAAACGACTTTTTGCTGCTGCTGCTTTACAACTTTAGGAGACTCCAAAGCAACAAGTGTGAATTTAATCTTTGAGGTCACTCCTGTTATCTGAGAACTACAGTAGCACAAGGGGAGGGTTAGAGAAAATGTTTGTGCTACGGTGATATTTCATATTGGTGATCCAGCGACAGCAAAAGCATCAAAAAAGGACAGAAAAACACAAACAAGCAGGTGTCCGTCAGTCCCAACAGAGGCAGTGGCTTTTTAAATAGAAACATCATTTAGTTCATGCTAAAAGAGGAAAAAAGCAGTCTAAAAAGGGCCGAATGTCGTGATTCATGTTGCTGAATTCATTCAGCGGGACTGGCTGGTTACCAAACCCACTGGAGTCAAACTCTGACTATGACAGTCTTGTAAATCGGCGTGATGTGTGCGACTGGAATCTAGATTTAAATAAATCCAGCATGTAGCTGTGACTTGTGTTTTCAACTATGTGTGGCTGCACTCATCCTCACATCAGCTGCTCTGACTAACAGGACGGAACACTTGGCCCAGAAAGAAGTCACGGCATCATGAGGTACTTTTCATCACACAGGGACGAGTCGGGAGGGGTTACAGCAAAAAGCTGGTGAGGCAGGGGAATTTATTAAAGTTGTAATTAACTAAAAACAAACAAAAAAAAACCTGGTGATTGTTATTTAAAGAGCAAGTCACCCCCAAATCGACTTTTTTTCTGATAAACTATATAAATGTGTGTCTAATCGTGCTGCAGTCACGTGTAGTCAATAGTTTAGCACTTTAGTTCATTTTAGTTAAAATTTTAATTTTCTGCCTAAAACTGTCAGTGTTGTGCCGTTGTCAGGTAAAAACTCTACAGTGCATTTGAATTTAAATCTGCCATCGCTATTGGCTAAGAGGTACCCTGGTACCATATGATGTCACAATGCCGTTGTGAGCCTGTGTGTGTGTGTGTGAGTGCATTTGTTAGCGGCTCTGCCCTCTTGGTCTGCTAGGCAACAGCATTTGTTGCATTTTTTGGGGGCAGCAGTAACTCCCGGCTCCCACCTTCAATAGGGACAGATACAAGTAGATAGACAAACAGTAAAACCGCAGCCCCACGTTTGTAGCTAAATGCTTTTAGAGATAGCTAAACTGCAGCATTTGTCCCTAGATGAACTTTTACAATCATAAATTAAAGAGAAGAGAGAAAACAAATATCACTTAAAACTTTGGGCACCAGTTTTTTCAGTCTCTGTCAGTAGAGCGGAGGAAAATAATCAAATAATCGATGCATCGAGATGCGGACATAAACGATTCTGCATCGTAGAAAAGTACGCCATAATCGATTATGGTGGAATGTAGTTTTGTTTTCTTAACGGCGGCACCAGCGCAGCATCCAAATCTGTCAAGAGTGAGTGTCCTCCACATTTACCAAGTGGTTCTGCCTTAATGTGGTACTGCAGGGCTGAGCGCTGGAGTTGTAACCTGAGACCGAACCGGAACCGAATCAGCCCGACCGGTTCTGTTGGATTTGGGCCGTGAATTATGTTAATTGAGCGGGTTGTCACGCGGCGCGCTCCGCTCGCTCGCAGAGAGACAGAGAGAGAGGATTGGTTGATGCTCCTCCAAACCGATGCTCCAAATACGCATTATTATTTTCATAATTTAATTATTTCTCTGCGAAGCGCTCAGTCAGAACGAGTGCTGTGATGCTGGGAGATCCAGTCTTGGGGGGGGGGGGTTCCAGTGACGGCGGCTGCAGCGTAATCATCTGTCTCTATTATTTAGGGACACAGTGAAGTTAAAAGGAGAGACGAATAGAAGATAGAAGTTCTTGTTCTGCTTTATTCTTTTGTTTCATGAAGATAAACTGATGTTAAATTCAATTAAAAAAAACTGGGAGGAAGCTTTGGTTCATTTTAGGTTACAGGAGGTCTCGTCTTCTATCTGCTCCTCCAGAGACAGCATGGACATGAGGGTTACATGGTGAGGGTCACACAGCACAGGTTAGTGGAAAGGTTTGTAGTTAACTGGTTAATTTAATCCTAATCCAGCCCACAGCCTTCTGCTGGTGTTATTTTCAGAAAGAATAAAACACACATCTTAAATATTATTGGAAGTGTAGAATTTGTTTTATGTTTTATTATTTTCTGCATCAAACAGAACTTGATTCATTCTCCAACATTTCAGAACCGAGACCACTGGGTTCAAATAAAATAACAAACTAAGTCAAACATTTCATTTGGTGTTATTTCTGACACCCTTGAACTGTGGCATAAATATCTGACTCTAAAGCTGCTCAGAGACATTAAACACTCAAATGAACCCATTACGGATTTTATTATGTGTCCAATAGGTTTTCAGTATTTTTTCCAGATTTTGTGAGTTTTTGCAAAGCGTGTTTTTCTCAGCCCGAGGCGTGGTGTTGAACGAGGAAACAGATCGTTTTCCTTTGTTAAATCTTCTTAAATGTTTAAAATGTTTTGTCCTAACCTGTTGTGAATTGAGAGCTTTTGAGGGATGACAGGTTGTGTCAATTACATTTTTAATAAAAAAAATAAAAAGCAATTATCTGACATCTTCTATTATCAATGAAAACAAATCAATATGAAATAATCGGGATGCATCGGGATATCGAATCGAAGACCCAATAATCGTAACTGAATCAAAATCGCGAGACAAGTGAACATTCTCACCTCTATCTGTCAGCGCGCCCCAGGGCAGCTGTGGCTACACTGTAGCTCATCATCACCAGTGTGTGAATGGGTGAATGACTGATAGTGTTGTGAAGCACCTTGGGGGGTTGTAGAACCCTAAGAAGGCGCTATAAAAAAATACAGGCCATTTACTTTTCTCCTGTGGCTCATTATTCTACACCAGAACACAGGTGGGTCTGACCTGATGCCACCTGACATCAGCAACAACCCTGCTGTCAGCTTCCAGAAAGTCTGATTGAACAAGGAGGGTCTTTGCTGCCGTCTATCACAGAGCTGCTCCAGCAGATGGAGTAAGGTAGTGTTTGTGTGTGTGAGATGGGTGGGAGAAGCAGAGAGAAACTGGCTGTGAGTGGTGAAGATGAGATGAAATAAGCTCTCACCGAGGACGGCAGGCCAGGGGGTTTCCGAATCTTCTTTGGCTGGGTGTCTGTGTGCAGACAGCAGAGAGAGAAAATGTAAAAGACGGCAAAAAAAAAAAAAAAAAACAACAACAAAAGGATTTAGTAATGACACATTTGCAATCATTACGCCAGTTCAGGTGGAGTTTTATTAGGTACTTGTTCCAATTTCTACTTCATTTGAAAGGTGTCTCTCACACCAGTGTAACTTTTTATCATTGACACAAGTCTGCTAGTTTTCTCAACTGAATTAAACTTGTATAATAATCAAAAGGTTTATTAAAGACAAAAAAAAAATCAGATCGCTTTTTAAACAATAGAAAATATCATGCAAAACAAACAAAAATTACAGCACGTTTTAAAGTGTTTTTACCTAAACCTCCGTCCGGCGGCCTTCTCCTGGGGTTGTTGGGGTATGATGGATAAAACTGGGAACCAGACTTTATACCAGAGGGAGACAAAGCATCTGGGCTGGGCATCGCTATGTCACTGGGAAGGAAGCCCGGCTAGAGACAGAGCACAGGGGTTCTTTTGATGATGCATATGTGTCTAGGTGTGGGAAAACACTTCTCTACGAAAATAAGAACGGTTACAAATTCAAAGTGTCTGAATAGAGAACTGAGAAAACTGAGCTTCCTTTACATCATACACGAATGAGTTTCACTTGTACACGAGCAACAACATACCTGGCTTCCAAAGGGGGAGTAGGGTGGTCGCTCATTTTTACCTGGAGGGTGAAAACGGTGCTGAGCATCAGTGCATTTTAAACTGATTAAACACACGTATTAGGAGGCATAATTACAGATAAAAATTGGGTTTCCAAAAGCAAAAATAAGTTTGGAGAGGCCCTCCCCCTTTCTACGCTCAGCTGCATAAAGCTGCCCACGGAACAAAACCCCTGGGAGGGTTTCTGCTTCAGCGACCTAGCATCGTCAACGCTCAACCAATGAACACAGGCGTGAACGTAGACACGCTTTTAGGCTTCCAGAAAACAATCCTGTGGTCATAACAGACAAATTCATGGTCACAAAAACAAGCAGATGGAACGTACCGGCAATCCCTGAACCGATGAATGGAGAAGGTAAGTTTTCATGATCGCTGAAGTGGGATCCCTCTCCGTATCCCTGTAAGGAACAGCAGCACATTACATCACAAGCCTTATACATTACACACCTCTACACACAACATGGTGACTGTGTTTTCTCCCCCTCCGTGGTTTCTAACAAACAGGGTCCATGCCAAACAAATTTGTCTCAGCTCGGGGGATTCAAACCGACTTTCTTCATTATCAACTTGTGCTAATCAAAGCTTTCTGCATCCATTTCACCCCCCGTTCCTTGTATTTACACAGAGCGCTGCCAAGACGGTTATGGTGGCTGTGAAGCTTCAATTACTGCTGGGCTTCAGCGAAGGTTCTGAGCTACATCGGAGCTTGCCAATCCTGCAGGATCCTCGGCCAAGGTTATTAGGTAGAAAGCAAAAAATAAAAAAAGACTACCTCTGCAAATCAAAAATGGCACTTGGCAGAGGGGGTAGGGAATATCTGAGCTGTTGCAGTAGTTGGGGGAGAGATGATGCACGTTTTCACCTCTGATGGTGTGATTAACTGAATACATGTGAGTGGCAGCAGCGTGGCGCCTGGTATTACTTCTTGGATCTGCCGTGTTCAAATCAAGGCTAACACAATAACACGACTGAATGTCTTCTTCATATCTTACCCGTCCTTGGCTGAATGAAGGACTGTTCTGTTCTCCGGAGCCCCAAGAACCAGAGCCGCTGCGCTCATCTATTGCTGCAACAAAGAGGGGGAAAATACATTTATGGTTAAAATTAAAGCCATGAAACAAACGTGAGCTCGGATATGCAAGGAGGCTTTTTTAACAGTCAGCCACATCCTTGTTGTCAACATTAAATGTCCTAAAGTGGTCACGGTAAACCAGGATATAGTTAATATTGATGTTTCACTTTGAGGCAGATTGCTATGCTAAATAATTTCTAGGGAGAGGCTTGTATGAAATGCTGTGCAATGTTCCCATTAGAGTTCATTATGATTGCTGAATAGCATAAAATTAACCGTTGACGTTCTAATATGCTCCGTGAGGTTAAAACCTGATCCAAGCCACGTTTAATTACAGCCAGGGACACGGGTGGAAACACGTTCAAGTCAAAAACTGAAACATGAGGTTGTAGGTAAAGAAGGATGTGATGTGGCGCACAAAGAAAATAAGGCCAAAAGCTGGTGAGGCAGAAAACTCCAAAATACCCCCATCATCCCCTTCTCCCTGTCTAATGCACTAATGCTATCCAGGCTCTCTGGAGACACAGGGCTTAATTGCATGCTGATTTGCATAATTGTGCATATTAATGCAGCTTCCTTATGAATATTCATATTTCGCCTTTGATTTTCACCTAATTAAAAAAAATGTGTGTGAGAAAGCAAAAGAGCGAGCGAGTGCAAGGAGAAAGCAAGGAGAAGAGCGAGAGAGGAAGACGAGTGAGAGAGCTCTGGGTGAGATCAGCGGCCTGGTTGACGAGTGAGAATGAGCGATGAGACTAACAGAGCGGTGCAAGCACCTACACACGCTACGACAGCCGTGATCTATGGAGCTGATGCCAGTGGCACGGAGAGGGGACCTCAGAAGATCAGACTCGCCCACCGTCACATCAGTGCAAATAAAGAGCTGCACCATCAGCAGCTTGGTCCAACGTGACAGGACACCGATGACGAGGTCGCTGCTAAATAAAGATGATGGGCTTTGAACGGAGAAACATCCCTCTAAGCTCGGGAAACAGGAAAAGTATAGTAATACTAAATTAGTTTAATAAAAAAAATCACTTTAGAGGACTTATATCGACAATAAAAGTCCACATTGAAAAATAACTGCTCACAAAAACGACTAAAATCTGGTCAAACACCAACATCATCACTTATCACAAACCTGTTCTGAGCATGTCAGTAAATAACTCACTTCCAAGCACCACTCATCCTCCTATGATGCCTCCATTTGGCCAACGGGAGACCAGAGGACAGAGTGAAAGCATGGCTGTGCAGGGGAGGTCTGACAACATTGTTTCACACTTACTAGAGTAATTAACTGGAAGGCAATTAAAACAAGGTGGATGGCTGCGGAGGCGGCAGCGACACGTCCGAGAGCTCCAGCTATGCAGGAACAGAGATCGTCCTACTGTTGTTTACCACTTGTCCCATATTGTATCAAAAAAGATCACCACCACCAAAACATATTTATAGTCATATTTAACACCAGCCCCTACCTCAGCGATATTATGTTGATGAAAAGTGTCTCCCTTAACACATTTTTAAATAAATTAAAGAGCAAGTTCACAGAAAAAGGTTTAGTTGTTATTTTTGAAATACGATAATTCGCTCTGAGTTTCACATGTATGCAGAACATGAATACTCTTCTACCCCCATTTTCTGCATTAGCCACTGATAGAAAATAGACGGGAAAATACTCGGATTAGAAAACCTGCATTCATGGACTCACCCATCTTAGGTGGAAACGAGGAAGGCTGTTGTTGATTTAGCGTCCAGTAGGGCTGCACAATATATCGAAAAATGATCGTCATCGGGATAACAGGATGTGCGATAGGCCCATCGCAAAACACGTAAAAAACGGCGATAAATGTTTGGTTCAAACATTTCCGTCCGTGTCATAAATCAACTTTTTGTAAACCAGCTCTATTTTTTTTACACGGAAGTATTATTTGACAAATCAAATGGAGCCCTTCTGATATGCAGCCAATCAGATGGGTCCGTTTATGTAATACGCCCGCCCCCTACGTAGACCCTTAGGATGGAAAGCAACACCTGAACTGAGTTAGCGGCGCCGTTCCCTTGTTCGTCATTCTGGCTCAGAGCAACAAACGCACTTTGTGCTGAGGTTTCTGGAATCAGCGCTGCTTTCAAACGTGAACGTGACTCCGCTCGGTGTCGTTAAGCAGCTGATAAACATTTTTACCGGGCTGACTCCGGCACGTGCCTGTGAACCAACCCACCTTCATGTCGCTAGTGTTCCACCGGGTGGTGATGTTAGCCCCAGGCTCTGGTTAGCTTCCAGCTAAAAGGCTACAGCACTCTTCTCCCAGTCATCATAGTTGCAGTTTCATCATCTGAGCTGCTTTTTAAGATCTAGGTAAACTTGTTCAATTTGGGGTTAAAAACAAACATTTTCACATATTTTCCATGTAGTTTTTTGCCAGTTCCTCTTCTGAAAGGTAGACAATTGTTTTTCTCTTTCCCTCAAAAAAATCTTAATATTCTCCTAGTTTGGCCCAGCACAGTTCACTTCCCAATTACAGCAACAGCCTTATATCATAACCACATAAGTGGAGAAAATGTTCAGTAGCAATGAGAGAATTTGCCGTTGCATTTAAGTGATGTTAACTATTATTTAACATTTAAACTTATTTTCAGTTGTTTTTTTTATTTATTCAAAAACCCTGGTAAGGGATGTTTTTTCTGTATTTGGAGCACCAGCAAAAGTTTTATGGTGGAGGTGATGTTTTAAAGTCACTGAGAAACTGCATGCATGCAGTTTGTTGTTTTGCTGCTAATACAGTAGCAGGTGCAGCTGCATATATTTTGCAATAAAAATGTTTTGTTGTAATGGAATTCATGCATTAGTTTTTGTTTGCTTTGAACCCAGAGCAGACATCACACAACACCCAACATCAACACTGCACACTTTAGTATTTGTTCATTTATTGCAAGTAATATTGATGTCGCAATATTAAGCACTGTTATCGAATATCGCAGGTTTTCCTAATATCGTGCAGCCCTAGCGCCCAGGAAAGAGCAGAGAATGTCTCGGCTAGTAGAAGCTAACTGTGAGCATTAGTATTAGCAACTCTACAAGATGGCAGAACTCCTACAGGCTTGAGTTATTAATGGAGATATAACATAAACAATGCAAAGCAAGGACTCAGTGAAGGAGTTTCATTGCGGCTAGTCAATTAGAGTTTTAAAACACACTAAAAGACTGATAAATGTTCAGAGACAGTGTTTTGAACAAATTTGGGAACAAATTAGCTTAAAACATTTTTTCATGCCTCTAAACAGCCTTCTAACATAGTATAGCTATAAATATAGTGTAGAGCTAAAAAAATAATTTAAATGGTTCTCTGGCATTTGTCTATAAAGCATTACATATAACAGGTTTCTGAAAGCAACTATTGGACCATCCGGTTGTCCGTGTCATTGAACCGCTGCACTTCCCTGGGTCCTCCACCCATAACACACTCACATATTTAGAACCAGAACACCACTGGTGTAGGAGGTTTGCCGCTCCATAATACCAGAGAAGGAGAAACAGCCGGCTGCTACCACTTCAAATTTAGAACAAACTACCAGATTCCCAAAAAGAAAAACACCATTAGAAGTCACAAACAACAAAAGAAGTTCGGACCCATAGTGCTATTGGGGTTCTGCACTACCTCGTTACCTCTGGCATCGCAGGTTTCTGGTTCTGGCAGAAGTGACTCAGGGAAGATACCCTAGGGGCGGGGTGAGTGTTCCGGGACAGTGTTTACATTCAAAATCTAGTTTGTTCTATTGATTCACTATAGCAGCTTTAATTAACAAACTAACCATCCAACTCAGGGATTTTTTTTCTCCTGAACAACAATTCAGACTGATGTTGAGTTGAACATACAATCATTTGAAAATCTGCACTTTTTAAAGTGGAATCACTATGAATTGGTACCAAGGGGCCATTTTGGTCTGCATTTTTATAAACCAACACAAAAGTGGCTAAAATTGCAGTTCCACCTTCATCCGCTAGGGTCTGGCAGCAGAAGTGAGCAAATCCTCATTGAATCCCACATTAAAAATGCCAATTTCACAGCAGAAATAAAAACTGTATCGTCTGGTTCAAAAAACATTGTAGGTTTAATGGATCTAGTTTGCAGTCATGACAATCCGGAGAGGGGTGATTTTTTTAATATATAATTATTCTGTTTAAGTGTAATTAAATGCTTAAAATTATGTATAAATAATGAGCATCAGAGCTATGTGTTTTCAGAGCTAGCAGTGGGAGCTAGCTCCGGGGAAAGGCCGCAGCCTGGGACTCACATTAATAGATAATTGATATTTTGACTGTCTGAATTTTAGTTGTGTCCTCTGTGTTTTAGGGCTGAACGATTCTGGAAAATAATCTAATTGTGATTTTTTTCTTCAATATTGCAATTGCAATTTAATTCACGACTATTTTCTCAAGGGGTTTCTCTCATATTTTTCAACTAATGGAAGCAAAAAAAATCTATGCAACTTTACTGAATATAAACAAGGTTATGTATCTACATATATCAACAAGTTTATTTGTCTACATAAACATAAACACTCACAAGACAAAATCTTGTATTTGAAGGTGCAAAAGCCAGGAGCACATCCCTTGAAGGAGCATAGGTATTAGCATCAACTGTGAAAATTTATTTGCAGGAAAGAAGTGAGTCCCACTTATTGAAGTCTTTTGTGTTTAGAGTTTTTGACGTCTTGTCCATGCAGAGCTTCCATAGTTCAGTTACATCCATAGCTGCTAGCCAAAAGTTAAAATCTTACGGTTTTCTGGATTCACAAAAATATCTGTCTGTATTTAATTGATTGATGGCAGTTTTGACTTTTTATTAGACTCCAAATGTAATCATTTGGCACATCCCTAAATCTTAATTTGTAAGAATGTAATTGGCGATATTAGCGTTAGCAGCCCTATGGGGTTTTCATGTATATTAGCATTGTGCTAACTACCTACTGCCAGTCAAATCGTAGCCTTTGTGATTAGAAAATCTCCTTTCGTCACATCACAATTTAATTGCATATGCAATTAATCGATCCGCCCTACAGTGTATGTATGTTAATTATGGAATTATTTGGACAAAGAGGGCAAGCTGTGGTTATTGACTGCACTAATAAATCATCCAAGCAGTTTCTGCTTCTTTTTATCAGCAAGTAAAATTATATTCCTGTACTTTATTTTGCTGGTTGAATGGGGGAAATGCTGTGTCATTTAACTGCTTAGTCAAAGACGTCAGTGGGGCTGCATAAGAAACTTGAGCGGGTTTCCGACTTCTCCCATCTCCTGCCCACGAACACATGTCAAATGTATGTAATACGTTAAAAATCGCCACGACCCAAGGATGGGACCCTGCAACTCACGCAGGTCAATAGCAAACCATTGCAAACGTTTTGAGACTTAACAACTTCCTCATGGGTGTCATTTAAAATTTGTTGCCAAAAGTAGTTACCAAGTGAGATGCAGACTTAGCCTGCGTTATGTTTTTGGAAAACAAAGAAAATTCATTTTTAACCATATGCAGTTCTCACTTTAACTCTGTGTTGCTCTCAAATGGGAGGAAACAGAAATACACTGAGAATTATAGGAACAGATTATCAGAGCTGAACAGTACCACTTAAAATAAGAGATGAAATGCGAGCAAATTAAATTAGTGCATCAAAATACCCTAGATTATCTAACTGGGCACGAACAAAAATGCAATAAAATCAAAAAGACTGGCGTGTTTACAATAGTTTCTTTGCATCTCTCTAGATTTCAGCTTGGCTTGTTTGAATGCACCCGCATGGCAAAGCAAATAATGACTGAAAACCAGAGCCCAGAAAAATATTTATTTTCTGAGCTACAAAGCTTTCTCATGGCTGCAGGCTCAGAAAACATCCAATTTAGTGAAAAAAGAGAAGCCTCTTCTTGCCTTTCAGATTCTCTCTCTCTCTTTCTGAGGGTTTAGATTTTCCTACAAGAACTCACCAAAGAAGAGATAAATAACTACATGACAATAACACACCCAGGCAAACAGAAGAGTGGGCAAAAACTTAAAAGCAAACTTATTAAGTTGGCCCCAGAGAGAGAAATGTGTAAATGCAGGCCTGTTTATCTGTAATCTACAGGAAGCGAGGCTGTCGTGTCCCTTGTATTTGTGTTTGTGTGTGAAGGGGGTTGGAGACGTTGCCAGCAGCTGCAGAGGTGACCGAGGGGACGCCTGCCTGAAGGCTTGTGGGCTTGGCCAACTCCCACCACACACTGTCATACTCTGCCTCCTCTACTTCTCAAACATCCCATACTTCTCGCCAATCCTCTTCTCTTTTCTCCTCCACTCTACACACCACACTGATCCCCCCCCCCACCACCACCACCACCACCACACACGCACGTGCACACGGGCCACTGAGGAAGGGAGGACGCCTAATGCAATTAGCACCCCTCTGAGCACTTTTGTGCTGATGAATAGAGGTGGTCTGGTGGGCCACTAGGCTGCTCGCTACTGTTCCCGCGCTGCTGCGTCCCTGAATATACAAGCCGCCTTTATGCTTGACGCATTCACTTTCCGCTTGGTGATGCGGCTCGCGGCTGAAACGCGCTTCACAACTCGCAGCGTTTATGGTTCATGCGGCTCGTCTCTGCGGTGAGCCAATATTCTCCCAAACTGTAGGGGGCAGCATGGAGCTCTACGGCATGCATCCAACACTACACCAAAGTAGAAGTAGAAATGACTGTTTACAACAAGGCATTCCAGCATTTTTAACAGCGTCCTCGTCTTTTCCGACAGTGCGAGCTATTTCTCTCCAAGAATTATTAACAACATGTTGATCACGGCGATCTTTGAGAGCTGAATCATACAAATGTCTGTATTTACGAACCTCTGCCATACTAGCTCTTGCCGGTCCGCCATGTTTTTCCGCATCCGACCGTCCCATAGACTGTACATACGGACCGCCCGCGTGGTTAGAAAATTTCCTAGGTGCACGCTACGGAAATTTTGGGCCGTGCGGAGGTGCAGTGGAGGGGCGTGGTTGTTAAAACGACGCAACTTTTCCGCGAGGAGCCGTGCGGACCTCGCGGACGCGTCAAGCATAAACCAACCTTTAATGACGTCATAGATGGACATTGTCCTTTAATGGTCGTCGTTCTACAGTAAATTGATTTCTCCTGGCTCTGAGCAACAAAGCAGTGTAGGACAGCTTTTCTGGTTCCGTTTTAGAAATAAGAATTTATTATGCAAGAACTACGATGAGTTAGATCAGATTGCGCTTTTCCTCATCAGTGTGTCAGGTCGCTGCACGTGTTAGCATTTTGACTCGTGCTACTGCATAATACCTGAAGGATCTCCTGAAGCTAAAGGTGCCCGCTTTAAGTATCATATTATAATGAGTGTCAATGACCGAGGGCCACACTTTTGGACAGGAGGAGGGGGTGGGAATTAACTCCTCACTGCTTAGTAATTGCCTGCTGGAATAGAAACAAACAGAATCCTGCCTTCCACAGCCTGATCCCTCTATTCAACAAGCTCTCTTTCCCCTCTCCGGCCACTCACTGCATGCTGGGCCAGTTTAAGAGGCTGCGAGCTGGGGGTGAGGGACATTGTCTCAGACTTGATCCATTTCCTGCAGATCAGTGGGGGTAAGAGCCCTGCACCGTGTTTGGGGGGAGGAGGAGTGTTTTACACTTCAGGGTGGGGGAGTCGTTTCAAGTCCATAAGCCCTTTTCTTTGCCTTTGTTCCTCGGTGGCTAAGTTCTCACTTCGGCAAACGCTGGGGAGTGCGAGTCGATTTCACACGCCAGGCTGGTTCGGTGACAGAGGAACAAAACTAAAACAACTTACTAATAACCTTTAGGAAGACGAAAACACTTACTGCGAGCTTTCAGGTGCCAGATCGTGCTGGGTTTTTACTCAAACTTAAAAGTAGCAAGAAAGGCAATGAATGTGAGCTTTACTACCTTAATAATTAGAAATATCCTCAGAAATGTCTAATCATATCAATAAATAGCACACAAATTCTACAACTGTTGGTTCAAAGGCTGGTTGAACAACAGCAGCCTTTAGCAGCTATTGGGCCATGTGTAATATTTGGAATATTCTGACTGTATTTGGCTAAATTGAGCACCGCACATTAAAGCAAACGTTGTTGTGACTAATAAAGCAGTAATGTAAAAACCTGCACTAACAACACTGAAATTGCCTGCATGACACACACCACACAGTTGAGGGGAAAATACTTTTTTTTCTGGTTTTGCAGAGTTAACCTTTATAACAGTCGTGCCTCTTAAGCAGCTGCAAATGACAAAGATGGACTTCTTTTGCAATTATCCATGTACGTTTGATTTACTAAACTTGCATCAAATTACAGTTAAATGTTCAAATGACACAAAAAAAATATATATATATAAATAAATAACTCAGAGGGTGCATGAAGCCTCACCTGATGCAGCAAAGTGAGTGCTGGCAAGTGTCATCGTCCTGTTTTTCCCATTGGCTACTGGAGGCGCGAACATCTACAAGACAAAAGTAGGGAGATGGCATGAACAACAGGGCAAGGACGGCACACTTCACACTCTACTACTAATACACACACACACACACACACAAATGTATACTGTCAAACTGATCATTAAAAATATCATACAACAATTAATTCTATATTAACAACACACCCTTTTAGAACACACAGCTAGATCATTCCTGTGACAACGCGGTTCACACTCCTTAGACGCATCTTTGACATCTAGAGCCAGTTGTTTGCGCTTTAGCTAACGGTGGTGTCACAGAGTCACTGTGGGCTTTACCACCAGGTTACGGTGTGGTCTCAGTCTTCGCTATGTGGCACCCTTCACCAGCGCAGAGCGCCTGCTGTACAAGCCTAACGTTTTAGTCATTAGGACACAACGACCCGGTTTGTTTCTACAGTATTTGACACGCTTCTTTAAATTTAAATCTTTTAAGATTAAAGCAGCCGCCTGACTGATTCATATTAACCTGTTTGGTTGTGCATTATTGAATGTTTGAACCTGCGTGCCGTTTTGCGATCAGATAGAAATCAAGCAAAGGAAATTTGTTGACAATCTGACAACTTTTCTCCTATTTATCAACGTCTGATTGAGAGAAAACATGCAGATACAAATGAGCCAATCAGTTGTCTCGCCCAAACTTAACTGACTCATAAAAACCTCTCACAACAAGATGCATTTCACTTTTTTAGTTGGCTGGCTTTCTAATAAAAAAAGACAAAGTAAACAAAAACAACTAGCTGCACTGTACCAATCACTGAGGATAGCGTGTTAAATCTCTAGGAATACACATAGTGAGTAAATTTTGTAATATCAAAAGGAAACAGATTAGTAAAAAATTTATTCACATTAGTCATGAATGATATAGTTTTAAATATTTCATCTTTGGGTAAATATTACTATTAAAGAAATGCCAGTCGAGGTGCACATAATAATGCAGGAAAAAAGAAAGAAGCCATACTCGCTTTTCAGTTTGTTTGGGTGAAAAGACTAACACTTCTCCGCTGGGGCTATGAGATGTTTATGTCAGCGTTAAGCTGCAAAGGGCTTCACAACAAAATGAAACACAAATAAAAGCGGAGCAGAATTTCTCTATCCACTTTGTAGATAATGTCAGGAGGATGGCTCTGAGAGCAACAACGTGAAAATCTCTTCCTGAAAACTGAAGTTATGACAATAATAAACGCAGAAGCTGTCTGCTCAGCCCAGTTCACTTAGTCCCCTAAGAGCCTGTTAACGATGAAAAACACTGGTGAAATTATTTGTTTCTGACTCACTGTTTACTCTCCCCATAATGCCTGCATCTGTAAGTGATGCTACACTATAACCGCTCACCTCCGGTTAAGACTTTTACTTAATTTGGTAAATCTTGCCACGAGCAAGTTTTGCGTTTCATGAATGTAAACAGTTTGAAGCAACGAAATCCATCGTGTAACTACTTTTTATTCCCCTAAAAGTTCCCTAATCTCTTTTCTACTTTTATCCCAACCATCAGCCTTCCACTGCCCTTTGCTGAGACCTGCGTCGCACTCTCTCCCAGCACCACCCAGACTGCTCTCCCACTCTCTTACCGCGCTAAAATCCAGGAGGTCGCTGAGTTCCTTGTCCGTTTCCACTGCAGCCATTCTTTGCTGCTGTTCGTTCATACCCTTCAGCCTCTAATAAACCCTGTGAGAGAAATTTGCAAATACAGGATTTTAATGTTCCCTAAATAAAATAAATAAATAAAAAAAGGTGTGATGATGTTATTGCATCATTGAAACTACTCTACCTCTGATATATCACAAGTTTGGTCTCTCTGATTAAATTCCAATGCAGGACTGCAGCTTTAGTGAGTGAGCATGTTCCTTTAAACAAATGCAGCTTTCTCATTGGTAAAAAAAGTGACTTTATCATTATAACTGGTAATAAAGAAACATGTAGCTCGTCTCCAGCTAACGTATAATCTGAGAGGTTAAAAACATGTCTGTAAAGTGATCAGCTCTAATTACTACCAGGCCAACGTATGGACAGATTAAGGTTGAAAAAGAAAGACAATGCACATCTACTGAACATCATACACAAACCTGTTTAAAAAATACTAATTTCCTTCACATTGCTGCTTTTGCCATTCAGGCGGTCAAAAGCAGGCTGATGAATCCCTTGCCTTTAGTTAAAAAAAAAAGTCTTTCATTTTACGCAACCCCGGCAACTAACAGAACCATATGTCGATCACTGGTACATAAAAGAAAATGTAATACACTTACAATTACAGACATAATTGGGACTATTGTTAGCCCAAGGAAATGGGGGTGAAAGGCAGAGCTAATGACTGTATGCAAACACGTCATTACCAAATTACCATATGTCAACTCAGAAAGAAGCTTGTCAAGAGACACAGCGAGCGTGAATACCGGATTTGCCCTGTGTTTTGCATTCCAGTGCCAGCCCGAGGCCGAGCTCTGGAGCTGAGCAGCGGTTCTGTGAGCCTCAAAGGGAACCAGTGTGGATGGGAGCAAGAGGAAGAATGGAGGCACTTGGACACCAACAGGTGGTGTGCTTTTACAGCCTCTTTTGTAATTTAGACCTAGCATATATACCATCCTGATAAGAAACTAAGCATAAGGACACATGGGCTTTTTGGGAACACACAGTGTGTATGAGCATTTTAATCAAGGAAAGTGTTTACTTTAAATTACTTTAAATGCAAGTAAACAAAAGAAAAAAAAGTCTTCTATATCTCGCCATAATGCATTGAAGTCCAAGTCAAACTTAGGTTACTTTAAGTTACTTAACTTGGGAAAAACTAAGTATGACAACAAATGCTAACCTTTTGCAGGAGCTGGCCCACTGACAAACTTTTCAAAACACATTTTAACCAAGAGTTAAATGGTGCAGAGCGCATGGAGGGGCTTTATATAACAAAATGGCATCTTCAGCTACTGCTGGATCAATATTTGAAGCAAGCAGATTAGGGGGTCTTTGTCACCCCCCACACAAATCAGAGAAGATGGGCCCTTCTCTACAAAAGATCTGCACCTCCAGTAAAAAAACAAACCACTAGTAAAACAAATGCCTTATAGTTAAATCATAAAGCTGATATGAATCCAGACAAAAGCAAACTACAGTTTAGACGCCCTGAGTGTGCATGACAATAAACAAACTTACACTGAGCCGCATAGAAGTATCTAACTAAGAAATGGTGTGGTTAAAGCACACACTAATAATAATACATTTAATAAAAACAATGATCCAGTTGTGTCCAGTCCACTGGAGTATTAGAAGTCCTAAATATAGTCTCAAAGCAGATGCAACTACAGGAACAACAAGTGTGGCAACAAAATGGGATTTTAACTGTCGATTCAATTAATAATAATAATAACAATAACAATAATGATGATAATAATAATAATAATAACAAAAACACAAAACAGAAATGTGTCCTTACATGACAGACACCAGTGCATTTGATGGGCCACATCCAGAGCCAGCTAAGCTGCTGACAACTTACTAATTCTTTATTTATTGTGAGCTGTGTTGACATCAAGCTCCAGACTAACCTACAAACATAAACTCCTGATAGCCCTTTAGAGTAAAACATCATTTATAAGCCCTGGGGAAAAAACACACACACGAGAGAACGAACCTCAAAACTTCGAGCTGCGATTTTCAGACTCACATATTTAGGGTTCAAGTCGTGCATTATGAGGGAGATCAGTAGAGGAGACGGTGGGGGTGGGAGCATAAGGAATTTCCTGCCAAATGTGCAATAAAATAAGTCTAGCTGGTGGCCAGACACTTCCATTCAGGAGTGTTTAAAGGGCTACCAATGGGGAGGGGGGTTTATGGAAACTTTGATTCACGTTTGTATGGAAAATACACACAAGTCCACATCTCAAAGTTTTAGCTAAAATGCTGCCAGCTCCAGACAATGTGAAGCTTGGAGTATTTTCGCCGAGCTGGCCTCTGAGCTAGCGGCGGAGAAAAACAAAAGTGGGGCTCGAGAGGCGACTCTTAACATTTCACGTTAATTGAGTCTTTTTGCAGAACAAAGGAGTAATTTCCTCTTCTCATTGGTCAAGCCGGAGACCATCACACACTTGGCTCGCCATCTCAAACCAGACAAAAAAAAAAACTTAACATCCCCCGCTTTAACCACACATTCCCAAAAACTTTTCGACAATAGCAAGCGTCGAAATACGTGTTAATGGAACCCGTCTAATTCATGCAGCTAAGCCCCGAAACGTGAAGTGCAAGAGTGTGTTTTTACCTCTCCTCTCCAAGTGTCTGATATCCAACAGTAAAAAGAAAAGCGGAGACTCGCAGGGGGAAAAACATAAAACTTCAAGAGAATTTCGACCTCAGTGCATGAAACGCATTGGAGCACAGTGGATGTCTTTTCTTTTGTCTCGAGAAGCCTGCTTTTCACGGAGCACCCACGTGTTTGCTTCAATGTAACGAGTCTATGTGCAAACAAATCTATTATAGTAACTAATCTCACGTCTTCCTTTTTTGTTGTTACAACTGAGATGATTTCATTCTTCTCGTAGACATCTTCACCACCTCCGTCCACATTGTCAGACGTAACAACGTATCCCTCCGCACAAAAAGTGAGGGCCTCAACGCCAGCGGTGTCCGATTTCAAGCACCTCCAAGAGATGGGGGGCTATTTGCGAGACAGGAAACAAAGCTGTAAACCTGTCGCGTGTTCAAAATGTCAGAAATACCTTAACCCAAAGTACATATTTTGTAATCTTCAACGTGCAGTATATCTATAAGCACTAGGTCGTCCAGCGGAAGGCTATCGTAAGAAAGTTACCTGCTATTACACAGCAGCAGCTTGACGAGATGGCACGATAAATGCGAAGAGCTTTAACCAATGGCAAAACGTAACGATTTGAATGACAGCAACAAGATCCAATAAACGGAAAGAGTCTTGGTTAAACCCGCCCATTTTTCCTTTTTTTCTCTTCTTTTTTCGACGCTCACTTTCTCTGTGTGCTCAGGGAGGCTGGCTAAGGGGGGGGGCTACAACATGCCCGCTGACATCATTTTATTATTTAGGTTGGTGAGGCTTCTTCTTTTTTTATGATAAAACAACTCCAAACTTGTATCTAAAGGTTTTTTTTAGGACAAATACATCAAAGTTTGTCTTATTTTTAACCCACGTCACTCTACGTGCAATGTTTTTCAATACGACATGTTACATTAACGCAGTAGCTATGTACGTCGTCAAAATATTTACTCGCATGGGTGTTTTGTTTTCACATGTTGGCGAACACTTATTTAATCAGTGAAATTGTATGAAGGGTAAAGACCGTTATAGGAGATGAAATTATACTACTGTTTAACAGTTTAAAGCCTTAAAACATGTTAAATGTTAAAATAGAAGCAAATGTTCGCCGACCTTTCTCTCACGCGGTAAAAATAGTTTCTATTATGATCTTAATTTTAATTTGTCATTATTTTGTTATCGCTTTAATTGTGATTTTTTTGTTGTTTTCTTGTTCAAGTCTCATGCGGTGAGTTTGTTTGTGAATGACCTGACAACCAAAAGACCAACCCAGCCCTGGTAACTGCCTTCTGCACAGCAGAATGGAGAGGAGGGCGGGCAAAGTATAGGATCACAGAGAAGGGGGAGAGAAATAGTTCAGGGAAAACACTTCAAGCAAGAAGGGCACTCAGTATGAATTCGCCAGCAATATTAAATTCCCCCTTTTCTGAAATAATTCTCTTTTAGAAATGAACCACCTATTCAGCACGTGATGACAAAAGCACTCAATAGATCCAAATGTGATGACCCAGTTTCATATAAAATGCGACTCTGCCTCTAATCAACATCCATCAAAAGGGGGGAAAAAAATCCCCACGTTATTCCACTCACCTGAAAACACACAATAACCTTTGAGTTTAGACGTGTATGTAAGTGTCAGACAGCTGTTGCGTTTACCCTCAGGGCAAACCTCATCAAAGAGGAGAGGAGTTGAGACGATTCCTCTTTGTTTCCTGTCAGTTACAGTAACATGTTTTAAATAGACCACTAAAAAATTCTTAAACTTTGGGGATACATGAAACATTTTGTCTTATCAAACAGCTCTCACTCCTATTCCATAGCGAATTAAGTTGCTGTTAGGGCATGATGTCTAGAATTTAGGTGTGAACCATAAAAAAACAAGACATGACAAATACTAATTCTACACAGCTTCTTAATGGTATTATCTAGCCCAAAGCCTCAAAGCGCCTATTCACACAGGGGTAACAGGGAAGCGGGATTTGCTGTCAATAGGACATATAGGTAAATAATCCATTGTGTGTCCCCTGAGTTCAAGAAAATCCTCAGCATGGAACATTAATTAGTTTTGTGGACCATCTTAGGAATGTAATGGGTTTACAGCTCAGAGCGAATGCACATATGGGCCATAAATACCTTCACAAACATACAAAGCACACATTTGGTTGCACACATGCGCACAGGTACAGGCTAGTGAAATATAAACAAACAAAGAAGGAAACCCCACCTTAGCCATAGAAATAATCACAATCACAAACAGCCACTTTGGTTCATTCATCTACTAACACCTGTTTGGAAATCCTCATATCCAGGAATCTATGACATTTTACTGTTGGAAACATCTGTTTGGGGAGATTAATTTATGGTTGGGTCGGAGAAAATCCTTTTACATTCTTTCTTTTTACAATCAATGTTAAGGTCTTGAGCAAAACTGGCGCTGTTGTCAGAATTCACTATTAGGCTTGTAAGCCCTCCAAGTAGTTTGTAGTAACAGCTGGGTCTGACATGGAGAGCATGTACAAGGGCAGCCAGTCTGAAGAGCGGGAGGGGGACAGGGAAAAAAACAGAAAAAGACATATAGACAACAAAATTCCTCTCTGTGAAGACGCGTGTAACAGTGCAACATGTTTAAACACAAATGAGACCGACACGAAGCAACTAAAGACAAAAACATCATGGATTATGCTAATATTACATCAAAATGACTTATAGCCAGGTGTTGCTATGTTATACTTAAAACTGCAGGCAACAACTGATTCAGTTAGTTATTTTTCAGGAATTCAGTTTTATATCTAATGTATTAAAAGTCAGCCTGGAACATTATATTATTAGCTGTGATGTTTTGTAGTTTGTTCTAACATAACTGAGTACGATTCATAAAATGGTAACTTGTGGTACAAAAATATCTACATTACACAAGATTGCTAAAAACACCCTAATTAAATATTTTTACTTTTTTACATGGATGGTTGAAGGCAGGACGGAGTGGGATAGTGTCACACGGACCCTCACTGATTCCTTCGAGCCATTCCCAGTTTCATGTCTTTAATTAACGACAGATGCACACTGAAAATTAGCATATGTTTGGCACATTGGTGCTAATCGGTCATATATTTGTGCATATTAATGAAGTTTACTGTCTGTGTACTTTGAATAACACAAATCCTCACACAAAACAACAGCCTGTAATAATCCGTAATAATGTGTACTAATTATTTAATCCTCTTTGAATCTGTTTTTCTTCCTTTTAAAATCAACAATGCTTTGCGGAGAACAAAGTGACAGATCCTGCACCATAAGCATGGAATTGTGACGCGCAACCTTTTGACGGCGGCCGCTTGCACCTCCACCCAAACAGCGGTCTCGAAGCTGATACAGCTCACAGGAGCCAAACCACATCACTGGGTTATATCACACACAAGAATAAGCCCGTAAACGCACTATATAGGCGGCAGAGCTCGGCGGTGAGGCAAGCTGCTCACCTCACTCCACACTGAGCCCCTCTCAGCTTGTAATAGTAGAGGCTTAGGTTTGGGTGGGGGAAGGGCAGAGGTGCACAGGTTTCTGATCAGACAAGAAAACTAGGCCAAGATCAACAATCCCTCTCCCTGTACACACTCAGCCCCTCCTAAATGCCACAACTTTGTTACAGAGCCGCAACAATCACCCCAACAGGATGTCGTTAATGGAAAATGATTTGGAGCTACATATATTCCGGTAGCTTGAAAGCTTCTCATAGCCGGGCTATGATTCATGCTTTCTTGCCCCTTTGGAAGCTGTCCTCCAATAAGAGTTAGAGACTGGGGGTAGGAGAGGATAGATTGATTGTGTTGGCTGAGTGCCCGTGCTCCGAGTCTATCTGTGCTGAAAGGGAGGAGACAGGGGGAATCTATCTGTTGTGCTCTCTGTGCTCATGATAAACTGACTCCCGTCAAGCTTCTTCCCCTTATTACAGCCCGCCTGGCAGAAAAACACCCAAACTCACACAGACTTCCAACATGTTAAACAACTATGAGGTGTGGGGAGGGTGATTTAAACCTGGCAGCAATCCACAAGGTTACGCCGTCCCCGTTTGGCGATAGTTGGACAGGCAAAGCGAAACAGACCAATTGTTTTGGAACAACTTAGAACAGCAAACCTTTCTGAATTCAAACAAGGAACACAACAAACCCGGATTTCACTTCATCACAAAAAGAGTAGCATTGTCAGTGGGAAACACAGTGTCCTTCTCCCTTATCCTCAAACTTTAATTCCCACCAAGCTCCACAGTTAGAAAGAAAATGAGTTTGAGGGATTGTCCCTGACATTAATCCCCCCATACACCACAGCTCTAGGCAGGATCCAATACAGACAGACAAACACAGAAGCAAATCAACAATCTATTTACTAAAGGAAAAACTAAATCAACAATGTTTCTTTGGCTTCTGTCTGCTCTCATTTGACAATGGCTTTCCTGCCTTCTTCTGTTCTCTCTAGTGATTTTACAGGACCCCTCCCAACCATCTTGGATTCCCGTTATTGTGCAGTTGTATGGGCACCCCCTGGTCTGCCACCCACGCTTCAGGTACGCAGAACAAAACACCGGCTTCCCGTTTACAGAGCTGGACAACAAAACAGGCTTGGTGGCTCAGGGAAAAGGGAAAAAGTGTGGAGGTGTTTGATATTTGAGGGAGGGTTCAAGAGATGAAAAGAAAGGTGAGAAGTGTGAAGAGACCAAGATGGAGAGATCAAGCGAAGGGAAAAGTCCAAAAAAAAGAGAAGAGCTACCTAATCCAAAAGAAAAAAACAGAACATCGTCTGAAAATAATACAGTAGCTGTGTATGGAGAGAGAGGTGTGCAAAAAGTCACATGATAACAATCAGATCAGAGGCTGAATTGACTCTAAATCAACTGAAGTAGGCATGTCAGGGCTGCCCAGGACAGGAGGGAGAGGAGAGGGAGTGAAAGGGAGATAGATGCTCGCCCGTGTGGGGGAGGGAAGCGGAGATTGTTGGTGTCCTGGGAGCACTGCAACAACAATAACAGCAGTGTGTGTCTGTGTGTGTGTGTGTGTGTGTGTGAGTGAGTGAGGGTGAATGAGTTAGAGTGGAAGTGGGGATGTGTTATTGCTCACAAAAGTGATGAAATGACATCTCCTTTACTTCAGCTCGCAGCTGCTGTTGCAGCTAAAAGAACACGCTGTTTGGGATATCTGACCTTCTATTTTCTTTGATAGCCGCTGGTCATAAGTGTCTGCCTGCCTGTCATGTTCTCCTCTAATTAACGTATTCTACACACACACACACGCCACTTTGTCCATTGCAAACACATTTCTGTTCTATTGATATTTGCATTATCGTTATGTTATTTTAACTGATGTCAACTGAGAAAATAAAGCAAGAAATTAGTTTTCCTGCAGATCATTTTCAAGGTTGTTCACAACACATTCAAACTTACCAAAATATTTTCAAGCTATGTACGTATCATCAAGTTGCTTTGTCTGTTAACTATCATTATTAATTTAGGTTGCAGCTCCCGTGTTCAAAACTATATCAGATATAAAAAC